TTTTCCCTGTGTCATTCCATTTTTTTACACATAACTTAATTTCTGAACTAATTTGTTTGGATTTCTTTGTATGTATGGATTAGTTGGGTTGTTACCGACATCTGGTGAAAAGTTCATGTCAACAGCACCTTTAGAAATATAGTTACTGAGAAAAATGGTGACGTGTTCAATACTTAATTTACCTGCTGTATGTGTTCCTTCAAATCCCCCTTTCTGCATTTGTGACTCTATTATCATCCATGTGTCTGACTTCAACACAGCTGGTTTCTCTTACTCTCTACTCTCTCTCCATCATTGTCTCTTTTTCTTCCAAACATCATCACAGTTAGGATTTTCTTGAGCAGCACAGCTAAATGTCTTGAACTAATTAAGCTCCAAAAGTATCCTTTTCCCTTAAAGCTTTAATGCTTTGTGCATTAATGCTCCTAAGAATAACTGTCATCATGTCTCCCTCTCTATTATAACCAAAGATATAACATTTGTTATAACATTAACATTTGTAACATTTGTTCCAACAGGGTGACAGAGGTTCACCAGGTCTGCCTGGGCTCGATGGATTTCCAGGTCCAATGGTAAGATTTTAGTTTTTTATTTATCTTCTGTCTTTTTTTTGTTATGTTTAAAGCAGCAGCTGATGCTGAAGATAGAGGAAGGCTTACTCTCAGAAACTATTTTGTTTGATGTGTCCAAGTAACTCAGTTTGATAATTATCAAAAAAAAACTATTAGATTATAGGGGTGGGTAAAAAAACCCGATTCATCTGTATATTGTTATTTTTTTATCAATGTTGTGATGCCTGAATTGATGTAATTGCCTCATTTTAGTCTATGCAGAGGTAGAAGGATGTTACCGCTTTTATTGTAGCCTGAGTAACGTCATATGTCGCTATATCCCTTTCAGCTGAACTGAGAAAGCAGATAACAGCGGACTGTCTGAGATACACTTCAACGGCTTTAAACAAACTACATCACAGTAGCATTAGTGCGAGTATACACCACGAGGCTGGAAAGGCTGAGTAGATGGCGCAGTCATGTGTAGTCTCATTTAGCCATGTAAAAGCTAATCTAGTTATTTAATTTATTTAATTTTAAATCAAATTAAAAAATGCATAGTTATTTCAGACATCTAACCAAAAATCCATTCAAAAAATCCATTGACTTCGAGACAAGAGATCCAAAAATGCTACCTATGTCCGGGTAATAAGGCTCATTCCTGCAGTACTCTATTGCGGAACGTGCAGTCAAGCCAGCCGTTCCTCGCATCTCCACCGTCAAATCAGCCAATGCTACAAATGAAGTGCACCCATATACTGACATGTTTGTCAAAAGCATTCAAACTGCCCAGATTGAGTTGACCATAACTGTATAAAGAGAATGGAGCTGATGCTGGTTTGGGCAAAGTTAGCGGAAGCATACATGTGTGACTACATCTGGTTTTCAAAATAAGGTGATAACAAAGGTTATATACAAAATAAATATGTGTAAATAAGATTGATTAGATTATATTCACAAGAAGAAAGTCAAAGATGTTTACTGTATCAACTGATTTTCCAGAGTAAAAGTCCCTAGAAGTGTATAATTCAACTTTCTCTTGTATATATTTTTACTACTGTTAAAACAGTAAACTAAAATCACAATAAATCTTAATAATATATGTATCTTAATAATACTTGCAAAATTGCAATAGATATCAAATCAGCAGTGTTTTGATCATCTCAAATTGGGAGATAACCATATTGTCCCAGCCCTATAGGATTGCTTCTTATATTTTACTTTTAGAGCAGCGTTTCTCATCACCTTTATAACAGCAGCTCTGTCTTTTAATCACCTGCATTAATTAGGCACGACGACGCACACGTATTATTAGTTCATTCAAGTTAAATGTTAGTTAAAGAGGAAGTTTAAGGGTTAAGTTAAGAGCATGCATTCAAACACACGCGCAAAAACACTTTGCCTATGTGCGCGCGCACACACACACACACTGTATCAGTGTTCCCACTGTGTTCTCCCCTAAGTGTTAGCCACAGACGTTAGCTGAGGCCTCTTGTGGCCTAATGTGGTCAGTATTAGGTTACCCTGTCAGAGACAGCCTACAGCCCACCCTGCTCTCTGCCTGTCTTCATTATTTACTTTTATCTCAATAGAAAGAAACATTCATAGAAACCAATAACCTTTTCTTGCTTTCTTTTTTTCGTATATCTTCCCTACACTTGGTTTTCTTCTTCACTATCCTTGCATATCTCTCTCTCTCTCTGTGTTGTTGCCCCTCTCTCTCTCAGAGCCTCAAATCTGGCTGTTAAGATTTGGTGCTGCCACACTTAAACTTCATATGCTTTGAGGTCAAGGTCAAAGTTCCAAAAGAGGAAAGGCACACTGCCCAGGGTTAGGAGGTCAATGATGCGCACGATATCCCATGCCTCCTTAGGTCAGCAATTGTCATGCCTACGGATTATTTCAAGGATACAGCTATCTATAAAATGCAGGACACTGCCATGCTTCCTATATCCACCAGTGTGCACATATTCACAGGCACACTCAAGCCCCTTTACCTGTTAACTCAGATTTGTTCTGTTATGCTGTATTGCGTTTCATTTCTTCCTCAAAATTGTACATTGCTGTTGCTGTGCTCAGCATAGCTGTGACTAGAACTGAGCTTGTGGCTTTACAGAACAGACATAATCTGTTCTAGCAGATCACACTGCTGCCTTGGCTATATCTACACAGAAGTCCTAGTTGCCTCTTATTGAAGCTTGTCTCCACATAGCTGGCCTTCACCTTGCCTCCCAGGAGGCCATCCCAGTGTTTGCAGTAGCTGAACCTAATATGCCCAGCACATGACCTGTGCCCTCTCAAGTATTTCCAGAGGAAATGAATGGCTCGGGTCCTATACTATTTACCCCCAAGTTGGCCTTTTATAGAGTGTGAAGGTTCATGTGTCACAACCTTGGAAGCACCCAACGGAGTCAATGGTACCGTGCAAGAAGGTGTCTTGCTTCCCCATAAAGACAATGACCTGGCTTTGACCATTGTGTTTTGGAACTATTAACATCTGTTGTTGATAATCGAGTAGAATGGAAAAATAAAAGGGCTTAAGAGAAGCTTGGATTTACCGAACAATAAATCTTGTTAAGTTTATAAAGAAGTGCCTGTTTAGCAAAGGAACTAGCAGAATTTGGCGGTAGCACAAAACTGACTGTGGATTAGAATGAGCAATTTATTTTTTAGATTTTCTTTTTTCGGTTTTAGTCGTGTCGGTTTCCTTTTTCAACCACACTGTTCTCTGCAACCACTCAGTGAGAACCCAGAACTGGTCATGGACTGGTTCCTCAACACACGACACAAGACAAACAAATGTAGTTTCAACTTTTTGAAATAGGAAATGAAACACCTAAACAGATATATTGTATCCTCACCAATTCCATCTGATGCGCACATATGCCCACACACCACCAATCTCCCTGCTCTCTATCTCCTTCCCAGTCTCTGCCCAACAGTAACAGAGAGTGCAAACTATATGGATCTTAACACTGACCATCCAACCCATTTTAAATGTCAGTCTTGAATGCATGGGAACCATCCGTGTTCAGAGATCATTAACTGTGACCTTTGACCTTAAGGGTGATACCAAAATGGTGGCTGCAGGAAAGAGTGTCCAGAATATTCCTACATCCCCTAACATGCCTCAATGTGTTTAATTGTTTGATTGTTTGTTCTTCCATTTTTTTTTTTACATTATTAGCAATGCTAGTGCCATGCTATTTCATGAATTGCCATGAAACTCTGTAGAGACATTCATGGTGCCCAGAGAATGAATCCTTATGACTTTATTGCTGCCCTGGCTTTTCCTCTGTCTCTAGCACCAATGTGAAGTTTTGTGGGAAACTCTTGACAACTGTTGACTGACATTAACTGACTGTTGTGTAAAGCCACCAAAAATGTAATTAGACCAACACTTCAGCCTTCCATCAGCCTCAGCTTTACTTTCTGTTTAGTTCTAATTAACAGATGTTAGCCTGCAAGCATGGTAAACATTGTACTTGCTAAGCATTAGCATGTTAGCGTTGCCATTTTCAGCATGTGAACATGCTGACATGAGCATTTAGCTCAGCTGTGCAGCATTTAGTACAGCCTGATAGAGTCACAGCATGGCTGAAGACTCGGCTTGTTAATGTCTATGGTGTTTTTTGGGGAAATCTACTGAAAATACATTTGTTTTATTCCATTTTCAAGGGTCTTAAAGGTTATCCAGGGTCAGCCGGACTGCCAGGAGAACAAGTAAGTTGTGACGTCTGCCTGTGAGTGTGTGTGTGTGTGTGTGTGTGTAAGCAAGAGAAAGAGTTTTATTATTCCTCTGCGTCGGCAACAGCTGTGGCCGTGGCTGTGGTCCAAATCCAAGCACCTGGTAAAGCAATATCGAGCATTGATCAACAACATTTTAAAACCATTGTTTTAAATTGTGTATCAGCTGAATGTTTAAAATGCAAAGTGTCATTTTAACACTGGGCGGAAAAACAGCAGAGTGAGCCAGTGATGGAGGAGTGGGTTGGAGGGCTGCAGAAAGGTACAGTTAATAGACAGGGTTGTCTTGGTGGAGGTTGTCCAGAATGAACAGTGCTCGTTTTATTCCTCAGTTGGCAATGCTGGTAGAGGTCTGTGTGTCTCCTCTTTCACTTTATCCATCCATCTAATCTCCCTATTCACCGTTCATTCATCTCTCTCTCTCTTCCTCTTTCTCTCTGCTGCAGGGCATTCCAGGACCTCCAGGGGAAGCCGGGGCTGCAGGTTACCCTGGCAGGCAGGTGCAGTGAAAAATACAAAAATACGCTTTCAGTTCCTCCATCGATCCTCTTAGATTCTTTGTTGCTCTATCAAGAACTCTACAGAAAATACACAGCAATGATAATGCTAACTGCATAATGCACACTACTTTCTGCTTTCCTATGCACGTTTCTTACCCATTTTGGATTCGAAATTAAGCGGTAAAATACTGCTATTTCCCTTACAGCGTATTGGAAAATGTAGTTTTCAATGAAAGGCATTATTCAATGCAATTGGTTTCATGGTGTATTTTCATGTTTGCCGTCTGTGCACTTAAACCCTGTACAGTGTAGATGAGAAAATATAAAGTCCAACTTAAAGTATAAAAAAACATATTTTGTTTTAGCTGTCTTTCAGTCCATTTAGAGTCTGATGTGTTTATGTTTCTCCCACCATGTGAAATCACAATTCACCTGAGTCCTTCCTTTTTTACAGGGCTTAGCTGGGCCACAAGGTAACCCAGGGCCTAAAGGTGTCCGTGTAAGTACAAGTTGCTCTTTGCTCTCATTCTCCCCTCTTTTCTTTTGCAGCGCTGGATGGAACACTTAATTTCCTGAAAGGATTAGGACAGTGTCAGGCCGACAGCCTTGTTCCAGAGAGGCTGCTCTGAATCTGAGTTGTATTTCTGACATACTGCCTGATGAGAGACTGCTTGTGGGGGCCGGTCTGGGCAAGCAAAAATGCCCCAAAACAGGAGAACAGAAGAATGAGAAGAGGATGGAATACAAACAGATGGGAGAAAATATTAAAGCAGACGGACAGGGGTCAAATCAGCTAGTGAGACAAGGGAGTTAAGTGGATCATTGCAGCTCAGAGAAAGAGGATAGCTGGGATTACTATGTCAGAGTGAGTCGTGCAACGTGAAAAAGAGCCACAGATAAGCTAAGATACAGACACTGATAAGATTTGAATGTGAGAGTGTGTAAAAGAGCAAAAGGAGAAAGGTTTGTGCAGATTTCTCATACACACTGACTACATCTTATGACACTACACTACAGCCAAGGTATTGGTGCCTGAAAAAAAATCTCTCAGTCATCGTGTCCATAATGACAGCACAGCTAACACATTTCAGTGTTTTACAAAAAAAATATTATAATGTGGCTGTCGTGTACGTTACAAGGACACACATTCAGGCTCACGCATCCCAGGGACGCAATATAGATCCTTGCCAATGCTTTCATACTATTCACTGATCGGCAGGAAGCGGTGACACACAAGGTATGCAGCAATGTGCGAGCAAAGGCAGGAAAGAAGACCTCAATCATTTATCATATCAAATATTATAACAAGGTTTATGAGCAATGTGCAGTGTTCATGCTAGAAGTGTTGTGTTGAGGAATGTTTTAATGAGATACTGTTTCACGCTGCTGAAAAATGTTCAGACAATATTTTGATGTGAAATATTGCTGATTTCCAGGGTTTCATTGGGCCTCCAGGTGTTGCTGGGCCACTGGGGCTAGAGGGGGACAAAGTGAGTGATGCACATGATGCCAAGGTCTTTTTATACTCTATTCCTGTGTACTGGGACTTTCTCATTCCCATTATTAATCACATTAATCTCTAATAATCTCCTCTATTTGATGTCTTCCCACTTTTGTTCTCCATTTTTTCTCCCCTGCTTTGTCTGGTTCTTAGTACCTCCCTGATTGAGGTTTGATAAATGCAAGCTTTCCTGATATTTTTGGTTTTAGCACTTTGCCATAATCAATATTGTTTTCAGCCAGCTCTGTTCTAATATATATCTTTATATATCTTGAGCTACTTAGTACTTGCAGATGTATGTCAAAACATCTTTTTACTCACAGCCATTTGTTCATTGTGTCCTTTAAAAAAAAAAAAAAAGAGGTAAAAGTAGAGTGTGCTTGGCAGCAGTAATTTAAAGTTGACATTTACAGTTTTGAATGATTAGATTACAGAAAAAAAATTACATTTTCCATTCAGGCTTGCTATTGGCCATATTACAAATCTCTCTGTATAATTGTCATTGTATAAGAGGAGGCCAGTTTTCCTATGGTACATTTTATTCAGACAAATTAATCAGATCGCTACGGGAGATTAGAGAACTAATTCCGTCGTAGCAGCACAGGTTCATGACGCAGATTTGAGTCACTTATCCACTTCTTTTTCTTTTCTAGGGTATTCGTGGTCCTTTTGGAAAACCTGGCCTCAAAGGAAGACACGTAATAATTCTTTTTTTTTTTTATTCCTGCCATAGGTCCTAGTTGCTTCGAGGCAAAAAAATATAGATACCGTTGTCATCTATCAATAGCTATGAGGAGACAGCTGCAGGCATGATTATCTGCGTTATCTTGTGTGATAAATCAGGGAGATTGTAAAAACTGATAAAAATGTCATCCATCTGATAATTTATACAGTGTCGCCTCTTAAAGTAGCAGTACTCTACATCCACAAAAGTCCCAGGGACAATTCGATTCATTTGTGTGCTGCATCTGGTGTTAATGTGCTCAAGATAAATCCTTTAGATCTGTGGTTCTCAACTGGTCTGGCTGCGGGACCCACCATCACCCCTTAATGACAAGCCGCGACCCAAATTTTCAACTTCAAATGTATTTAATGAAAAGATGGTGCAGTTTGAACCTGAGCTGAAAATGTCCTCTACAGTCGTAGTATAGGGAGCTCTCTTGTGCAGAGAAATTGTTCCTGTAAGTCCCCGTCCCACACATGTTTCACGTAAACGAGTAAAACTGCTTTGTTTGTTATGTCTGTAGATTCGTCCATTTGTAATGCAAAATGACCACTTGCCTAAATTCGAGCTGTGGTCTGTTGTTTGATGTCATCCGACATGTCTTCAATTCGCCTACTTATAGTGTCATTTGACAGAGGTATAGTTTGCAGTTTGTCCGTTGCGGATTGATCTAACACGTCCATATCCATGGCTGCAGGTAAGTAAGACACTTTTGTGATGTCCTCGGGTCTTGAAGTCGTCTTCTAAAGTACTCAACAGGTTTATCTTTGAGAGAAGGGTGATTTGTTTCCAAATGCCACTTCAGTTTTGATGGCTTCATGCTTTCTTGTGCCAGAACCCCGCTGCACAAAACACACTGAGGTTTTTGCCCTCTTTTGTCCTCAATGTAAGAAAATCCATATCTCATGTAGTCGGTGTCGTACTTGCGTTTCACCCAATTAGCACATGAAAACAAACTTTGTGGGTGTTCTTCTATACTGTGAAATTGCGGGTGTCTATTAGCATTACAAGGCATTAACGCCAAATACTGTTAAGGAGTGTGAATAACACCGCTGCATAAAAAATCCCCTTCAAAATAAAAGCACAAGATTTTTTTGTTTTGTCAGGCAAAGGCCCGCGAGCCACTGAAAACGGGTCCGCGACCCAAAAGTGGGTCACGACCCACCAGTTGAGAATCACTGCTTTAGATGATTTAACAAGATGTATCAAATCACATTGGAAATGTTGGATGGCTGTATTTTGGCATTGGTCCTGCAACGCCAAGTTTGTTCCCGGGTGGCATTAAAAAGAAATACAGATTGAGATGGATACAAATGGAATGTCAAGATCGGAACCTCACACTGTGAAAAGTTAATGTTTTAAAAACAAACCTTGGGTTGTCTGTTGAAGTTGCCAAGCGGGCAGTGAGCCCAGTGTCTGTTTGATCCAAAGTGTTTTTTTTTCTGGAATGTTTAGCGATGTCTAGCTAACTGGATCTAAGTCTGTGGTCTCAGGGCTGTTGTAATCCTATCCACAAGCTCACCAATAGACAGGCGTATCTTGCTTCATTAAATAAGTATTATTTTAACACCATGTCAATGCAAATTTGATCTTGATCAATCACTTGGGTAAATTGCATGTTAAATGCTATATATATTAAGTAAAGGTTGGAGGCCATGGATAACATAAAACATAGAAATTAAGTAACAGTATGGAAGTTAAAAAAGCTAAATAGACGACTGTCCATTCACCTTTATGGAGGTGCATTTTCACTGCAAAGTGGACGGTGTAATTGGCAGTGGTTGCACGTATACCTTAAATTGAGTGTGGATGTACTTCTCCCACAGGGTGTGGTGGGAGATGTGGGGGTGAGGGGGCCTCCTGGTCCTGATGGCAATGAGGTGAGAACTCCTGTCTGCCTCCTGGTGAATTAAGTCGTCCTCTTTTTTTTATTCTGCACTTTTTATTTATCTCTGCCTGTTATTTTGCCTTTCTGTCCTCCATCTGTAAAGTCTAGTTCTCCCTGCTTGTTTCCTGTCCTCTTTCATCAGTGACTGTGTGTAAAGTGTATGTTAAAGTACTGGGCTATTTCCTGCATGAACTTATTCACATTAATATGCGTGAATCATTTCGTGCATGTTCAGGTCTTTTGTATCCAGTTCTGAAATGTATATATAATGTGTAATACAAAAACAAAAAGATTTTTACACACATAAACTTTTCACACGAAGTCTTTATTTAAAAAAACAAAAGTTGGCATCACAGAAGGTGGACGGATAGTTTATTGAAGCGTGTTTACAGAAGGATACAGATATATGGTCGTCAATTGTCAAGTACAGGAATGACTAAGCAGCCTCGATTTATTAGTTTTTGGCTTCAGACATACAGTAGATATGTTAAGATGCTTTGTCATCTCAGATGTTTGCACATGAAAACATTAAGTTGATCTTATAGAATTTCCAATGAAGCCTTTGGGATGAGGAATGTGTAATACTGTAAGTATCCTGTCCTGTGTACTTAGGATGTTGCTGTGATGTTTCACAGGGGCCTGTTGGTGGGATTGGCATTTGTGGCTTTCCTGGTCTGAGGGTGAGTATCAGTTTTGCAACGTTATCATTTGTATTAATGTGTTACATTTCCCATGGCGAATAGGTACAATGTTTGATCTGTCATTCAATTGGTTCACAGTTCTGCTTCTGTCTCTCGTACTTGTTACGGAGATTGCTAGTCTGTCCATCTTTCTTTCGGCTTGTCTGTCTCTGGTGGTTAGATTGTGGTTAGGATGATGGATAGCGGGATATGCTGTGTTTCTTAATGCGTGATAGATGTGAGTTTTCCTGCTACCATCTATGTTTTGGTTAGATTTGCTGGAGTACTTGTTTTTTATGGCAGTAGCTCATTTCTTACTATTAACGACAGCCACTACTGAAATCTAAGTAATCTACAGGTACTCAAAGGAATACAATATAAATAGGACAGGATTCAGAGTTAAACTGTTTTTGGTTGCGCCTCATGCATCCTCAGCACTACCAGGTCCATGGGCATGACAGTCAAAAAGTTGACTTATAGACTTAAACTTACATTTTGGTGAATTCCCTGCATGTGTAGTGACGGAGATGTGCATTATACTGACACAGTTGTTCATGGTTGGGCACAGTAAAGATACCGTCAATATATTTAAGTTTGACATACAGTATGAGGGAAGCATGTAAAATGTGAATAATGGAAATTAAAAAAGAACTCCAGTGTCTATAGCTGCCGAAGGTTTAAATGTTACCAGCACAACCACTTGGGAGGCTCTGTCTTCTTATGGCAGTGAGACAACATCTAGACTGTCACAGACCTTATAGAGAGCATGCTCTCTTTTTTTTTACTGCACAATATACAACTGTTAAAAAAGTGCGTTCACAGAGGTCTCATAAACATCCCCCTGTTCATGTCAGAAAAATAGATACAACTGTATATGGCACCAGCCCTTTACTCATTTCAAGCGTTATTTACACTGGCTAGCTGTCCTCATTGTGTGGGGATTTATTGCGGTGCTTGAAGGAGCATTCAGTGTGTGCAAAAACATCTGGATGGATTGCGTTTCCTTAAACTTCACCTCAGCTACTGGGTGTAAGTCATCTTTACTACAGACACAGTCAGACATGAAACACGCAGACACTTCTTTTTGTTTTTACATAAACAAGGATATTTGCAAAGAGAAGGTAGAACAATCACAATATAGAGAATACCACAGCTTTAAAGTAAACCCACCTGAAATGTTCACTATATCTGAAATTGTGGGTTTATTCAGTGTGTCACTTCAGAGTTGTAGAATAACATTAACCTAGTTTATGGAATGGGGATATGACACTATGTGTCGTTGTAAAACTTGGTAGGCGCATCTACTAAAGTAAATCATTGTCATTTCAGATTAATTGAAAAAGACGTTTAGTAGAAAACCTTTTTATGTGTTTTTCTGCTCCAGAGTTTACCTTCATGTCTCAGCTCTCACTTAGACCTGACACTATAAATCACTTTGCAAACAAGAACGGGCAGCAGACAGTAGTAAATATGCCCCATATCTCTGTTATCCCAAACATTATTATGAGGGGGTGGGTGTTGATTTATTGCCATGCCTTGGCAATCCATTTTGCAAAAAAAAAAGAAGAAACAAGTGCCCTTGTTGATGTCTGGAAAGAGTGGACACTGAGTTGTTAGTGGAAGAATAGTTTTGGTCATAGCATTACCGGTATCTTCCCTTTTTCTTTTTTAATATTCAGGTCTTGCTAAGGAAAAGCTGAGCACTACAGGTCTGACGAGATTACGTTTCAGTTAAGGTTACTTCACTACTGAATCTGCTCTTACACCTTTTTTACCTTGTGTAGTTTTTTTGAACATTCAGTCCTTACACAAGTGCTTTTGTGGAACAAATCAAAACATTCATACATTCATAGAGTTGATGATAGGATCATATGCATGTAGTTTTTATGGACATTGCCAATGTTGTGAGCAGGTCATATCTCCAAAATGCTTGAACATGTGTTTATATCACACATTATGTGTTAGTGATGTTTTTGAAAGACTACAACATTTCTCATCATTAGCAGAGAAATTAATTATTAATGATTAAAGCTGATGTAGTGGTTGCTTGTCTTTATACCAACAAATCATTGCCTTTAAGCACTTTTGAGTGATCACACAAGAGAGCCAAAATACTTTCACCTCCTTAATCCTGGCTTTGATGTAATTCATATTGAGTCAACTTTTACGGCTGAGTGATTTTGTCACAGGTTACAGCTCACACAGAACTTTGATTTGACATCTAAAACTCATTTTCACTTCCCAGTGTCAATCACACCCTTGTGGTTCCAGTTGCGCTCACTCGTCTATTGAAAGGCAATTAGACAAAGTTAGAACTGTCGTTAAGTAATCTGTGGGAGAGCCGAAGCGGAGCAGCAAGTGTTCCTTCTGGTATGCAATTGATGTCTTTGCCAGTGTGTGACTCAACAAAATGTGATGCAGCCAGACACTCTTTCACAGCCCAAATGAAAAACATGGTGAAGACAAAATACAGTTGTTTGAAATGTTATGGACTTTTTATGTGTGTGTGTGTTACTGATTTACCACTTTTATTTGAACCAGTTTTTTTAATCATTTCCATGTGGTATGGTGAGGCCTGACTATATACTGTGGTAATGCAATTGTGCTTTCCCCACTCGCAGGTTGTATCAAGTATATGATACAATCAAGTATATGGTATACACTGAAACATGTTGTGTTTGATTGGCCTTTCTGAGGCTACAGTGGTTGTGTTAAAACAAGAGGTAAAGGAATGCTCCAATCTGGATTCTGTCAAGTCTTAACTCACTTGTCTTAAGTGTGGCTGGGATATAATGGCTTGGATGGTGTCAAACCACCTGGCAGTCAGGCTACATCTTGACAGCATTGTGGGATGTTTAGGTACCAGATCACTTCAGCTGGGCTGGTGGACACCCGAGTTATGGGGGAACTTTATTTTTTCTTGACTTATCTCCCCCCTATCATTATGACATTTTTCACGTGTTCTCTGTTGAAAGGTTCTTTTGATAGAGTGGGTTTGATTTGTGCCTGTCCCGTTGCAGTACCACAGGGGAGCTGCAGCATCAAACACCAGACTTACAGGGTCCAGATGGATTCCTAGTTGAAGCCACATGTCGTTGATGCCAGAATTAAGCCATGTCCTCTCACTCACTTAAGCTTTGTTTGCATATATTTTTAATGTGATAAACTTTTAGATTGGATTGAGTATGATAGCAAATCATTCGCCTCTACGTACATCTATAATACTGGAAATGGATCATTTTAACATACGTATACAAACATGGTATTCTTGTTTGTCCACGTTTATTATGATATTCATCAACTGCCCGCCAAAGGGCTTTTATTAACCCCTCTAGTCTTTAAAATATCCCCTCCTCCCTTCCCCTACCTACCCCATCAAGACAACCCAAGAAAACAAAACTGAAAAATAGAAAAGCAAAATATATATAAATATATATTTGTTTACTTTGTTTGCTGGCAGATTGTTGTTTGCCATTGATTCATTGCCAGCAACATAGTTGCCAATGACATGGTTGCAGCAGTCATAGTGAAAACCACCATCATCAGTGGCCATCAGTGACCATTCTCACCTCGCGTCTGTCAATTAGAATGGATGTTTTTGGCTGGAAGTGGTGAACACGGCCAAGCCCATACCCATAAAACACAACTGGATACACTGATACACAGCTTAGTTGTGTTGTAAGGTTGTGACAATAAGGAATGCTCTGTGTTGAAAACAGCAGATAGTGTTCGTGTCAAAATAACGTCCCTGCCAAGAAGAAATCTGAAACATTTAGTGTGAAATATGCCATTGAGTCTCAGGTAACAACCATTGGCCAGTATAGAAGTGTGCTTGTGTTTCTGTTTATTTGTGATACATCATTTCTATTGTGTACCTCCTTCCCTCTGCAGGGGGAGGCTGGGCCTGAGGGACTGCGAGGACTGCCTGGTTTGGCGGGGCCTCAGGTAAGTTAGACATTGGCTACTGCAAATGCTGCAAAGTTTAGGAATATACTGTACAGTACTGTCAAATCATTGAGATATCTAAAGTATCCACTGTATGTAACTCCACATCATAAGTCTAGCACCACCATAAATACATGTTCTGGCCTGTCAAAATATATAAAGACAAAGACAAATAAGTTTCAAAACATTTGCCACAATGTCAATTTGTATTATCCATCAGCCTCCTCCTTGACTTCACTTAATTTCAAATTCCTGCTTCAAAACATCTTCTGTAACTGAAGTCACATTTTCCCTTTCTTCTCTTCTCATTAATGGACTGATTCTTCCATGTTTCCCTCCTTCTTTCCTCTTCCTGTGGCAGGGGCCAGCAGGACCAGCCGGCCTGCCTGGATTGAAAGGTGATAAGGTGATCTAAATATTTATATTATTGCAGTGTATCTGTGTGTAATGTGTCAGTAGTAGCCCAGCTCACATCCTGTTAACATTTGGATAATGCAGCCTCTATGAACTCAAATTTAATAACATGATAGTAAACAGAGCACGTTAACAGTAATTTATGTAAGAAATTGACATTGCTCCAAATGTGTATTGGTCCTTTAAAGTGTTGTCATTTGTTTTTCCGATATTCAAACTGAATTTTAACTGCAACTTACCTTGAAAGTTTACAAGTGTTGCTGCATGATGTTCTTATGTATACAGTATATACTTTATTTACAGGTACACCTTTTTGTATCGACTGTAGGGCCGTATTGTGATCACTGTGGCAGACTAGTGTTGTGTTATATCTCTGTATGATACTGTGAAATTCAGGGTGAAGTGGGACGAATGGGCGAACCTGGAGAGATGGGGCACCAAGGTGATAAGGTACGTCTCCCGTCACACAAGTACGATTTTAAGTAAAACACAGATGCACACCATTTGAACATTATGTGCATGGAACTATTGTTCCCAGTCATTTTTAAAAAGATAATTCAATATTTTATTCCCACGCTCATAGATCATGACATCATTAGTAAAAATACTCATGTTTTGTCGAGAACATATCACTTGATAATACTTTTACAATTCATGCAGTGTTGTATCTCTTTTTTTCAGGGTGTTGTGGGTGCACCTGGTCCTACTGGGCCAAAAGGGAAACCTGGACCACCGGTATGTGAGTGTGAGTGTGTATGTGTCTCTGCAGCCAAGGGTGCATGTGTAGAAATTCCTGAAGGTGTATTTATTTGCGTGTTTATGTGTGTTTGTATATTTATATATTTTATTCTGTATTTTTATGTTGGATGTGTGTGTGTGTGTGTGTGTGTGTGTGTGTGTGTGTGTGTGTGTGTGTGTGTGTGTGTGTGCGCGTGCATACAAAGCCAAGTAAACACGGTGGGCCACAATGAGATCGGGAATCTATATTTGTTATAACTGTAAACTGAAGTAAACGTCACATTCACAACACATCACCTTTATTGTGCACTTGCTGTTAGTGAGTTCCAATGAGGGAAGAAAGAAGCCTACATTATTGTGAATTAATGTCTCTCTCTTTTCACGGTGGAATACTGTACAAACAAGTCCAGATGCTGTCCTGTTCCAGAGCACCTAGTTCCTATGCAGCATCAGCTGTTGCCGTAGTTCAAGTTACCACAGTCCTCTGAAGAAACAGAATAACCGCACTGTTCACTACAGTATCATTTGACGAAGAAGAAAAAGATGTGGTGTACTACCACACAGTGTTAAAGTTTATCCAAACTTAATTAATTCAGTATCGTTTCAGGAAAACAGCTTTCTTGTCCATAGTTTTGCAAATACAGCTGCACAACATGCCCACACAATGCATACTAAGCCAGCAAGCATTACTTGAGAGAGAGAGAGTTTAGTCTTGATCCCTGATAGCAAGTGTACATGCAGCATCATGTTGTGACCGATTGGTGCTTAGTTTGTTGTTGCTCTACACCCATCAGTGGGATTAAGCATCATATCGAATGGCTACAAGAACACAATGTGGCATCACATTAGTCACATCTATACTCAACTTCATGTTGAAGAAAAAACAACAGAATACATTACCTAAATGGTGACAGAATGAACACGTAATAATTAAGATGTGTTCTCTGTATTTTAAACAGGGTAAAATTGGCGACATCGGGGCACAGGGACCACATGGACCTCCAGGACCAGAGGTAGGACATGCATATCGGCAACTATCTTGATAAATTAATAAAATGAATTGTTAAAAAGTATTTTGTTGAGATGGATCTGAGAACAGTAAATCAGTATAATCAGTATACTCCGAACAGTGCATCAGTAAGTATCCATTCCATCTAACATTGTGTTGTATGGTGTGATGTTTGAGGCCTATGGGAGCTGTTGGTATTTAGACATTTAGTCCTTTTATTTCATTTTACACTATTCTACGGCGTTTCATAATAATAACAAATTGAAATGATACTTAGACTCAGTGGAATAGTTGAATTATTCACGATTCACTTATATTGACATACTATGAGTGTGTGCAATGGAGACATTAACCAACTCGTCTTACAAACCCTAAAATAGGCTGCAGTACTCGATATACAACAAGATGAATCTTGTGCATTTTCTGTTCTGGCATCTCCCTCCAGCACGTTTGTGCTTTGGAAGTAGAATACCTCACCTTTTGTCAAAGAGGTCATTGTTGATGTATATGGAAAGCATGGAAAATGCCAAAATGCGGTCAGGAGTGCAACATGACCATAAGTCACATAGGCCACAGCTAACAGGTATAACTCTCTAAAATGAGTAATTGTGTCATGGCAGGTGTGCCTGAAGGTATTCAGCCTCTGTCTGCTCAGTAGCAATCCATCACCATCTTTATATCGGTTTGCAATAAGTCTGCCTATACAGTACTCTCAAGAAAGGCTTCACCCCTGTGTCTGCCTCATACAGATGTGTGCAGGATGCCTTTATTGATTTGCAAAGAGGAGCTGCTGTAGTACATCAACATAGGCCAATAAATAGGCCTACTTCGTACCTGCCTTTTTAAATGCAGTATAATTCTACCCCTCCTGTAATTTAGACAGAGATGTAATGAGTTCATTTACTGTGTGGAATCAAACTCCACCACATAAGTCACGTGACTCATCATTGCAGGTGAATTAATAACATATAATGATAATAATTTACCTCCTGTTTTTGAAAGGGATTTCCTGGGGACATTGGACTACCAGGGCTCAACGGTCCACCTGGACCAAAGGTAAGACAGCATCTCTCACTCTTTCTCTCTGTACATCCATCCATTCGTTAAAGTCATCCAACTGAATTCATGCATTTGGCTGTGTTTCAGGGTTTGCAGGGTGCCAGAGGGCCCCAAGGCCCGCCAGGACCACAGGGAACACAGGTGAGACTATTCAACATCTTACTTAATCCCACACGTCTGCTCGGTTCTTGACTCACTGACACAGAAAAGTGGAAAATATGGCTCTTGAAGAGATTTCCATTGGATCATTAGTCAAGATTAACTTAAAGCCACGATTAACCAACACAATACTTCTCATTTAGTCACGGTCATATCTCAAACAGTTGAAGCTTGGATCCTAGTGGGAGTTTTTTTCAATACCATAACTCTCGGGGCATGTTCCACTGGGTGAAGTCATGATTCATCCTTGGGTGCTTATCAAAACAAGTTCCCTGGAAAAAAGGAACAGAAGCCTTTGTAAGGTGTACAACACACACACACACACACACACACACACACACACACACACACACACACTTTTCTATTATGCTAAATGATACAGCCAAACCTGGAAGTTGGCCAATGTACTCTCCTCACACACACACACGCGCACGCACACACACGCACACACACACACACTTTCCTGGTATGGGTCACAGCACCTCAGTCAGATAGTCTGCAAAGACAAAGCTGTTTGATACCTGAAAGTATAGAAGTGGAATGTAAAAAGTACCTTCACTTAAGTGCTGTTCTTGAGTAGTACTACAAAGTCGATTACATTTATCTAACTGTAGCTGTAACCAGTGAGGCAGGTTTGGTTTCAGAAGCTGGGAGAGCACAGTGAAGGAGGGAGGCTGAGAGTTAGAAGTAGTGCAGTTGGAATGGTACTTTTACTGTGTGTGCATTTCTATGTGTGTTTTGGTGTGCCAGCTGTATTTACTTGTTTGTAATTGATTCTGCCGTGTATATGTGAGCATGTGTTTTTGTTTGTGTTTATGTTTGCAAATATTTGTGTATGATGAACTATACTATGCTTCTGCAGGGTGATGAAGGACCACTCGGCCCACCTGGCAGCACTGGCCCTACCGTAAGAACTCCCAGATTCACATACGTCATATACACTGATACACAAAGACAGACATGCACACAAAATGAGCCTTTTGCAGGTGGTTTGAATGAAACAATTTGCTTCGATATTCTCTCAGGAAGCAGCTTGGATGAGATGTGATAAATACATTATAAGCTTTGCTATCTTTTGATCATTACGAGTGTGTGTGCGTGTGTGTGTGTGTGTGTGTGTGTGTCTGTCTCTCTGCCTCTCTTTTTAAAGGGGAGACCTGGAAGGAAAGGCTACATAGGCGAACCTGGCCCGGATGGTTTAGAGGTGAGTCTCGTTCTGTAACAATGTATCATGCCACAACATTGGGGATAACAAAAATGAGTTAATATATGCATTGTGGGCTTGAAAAATGGGTTGCAGGATGAACCTCTGATCAATTCAATGTTTAGTGTCTTAATTGTAATGATAGCATTTTTATTTGTATAATTATTTTGCTTGAGGATGAACAAGTAAGGTATTTTCCACTGTAAACCATAAACCCCTTATCATCCAAAACTGAGACTCAGACTTTGATTCAGAAATAATCTTAAATGTCGGTTTTTGGTACAGACCAGAGTTGGTTCAGGGTTAATTTCTAATATGTGTTCTAAAAGAAGTAGGTAGGTTTGTGCTTAGATTGGCCTTCTTTGTTAATTAACACATTACAGTTGAACTATTTAGACTCTTTTACCGAGCTACTTTTGCCTCCATCGCTTGCCAGGACAAATTATTAGACATTAAGAAAAATGAAAAGAATGCCTCTGTATGTGTTGTAATAGATTGTGCTGGCCTTATTGTTCTTCTTGTTAGCTTCCTGCCATTCACATTGTTGTTGACCTATGATTCGAAACAAATGAAAAGCATCTACTCTAGCTACTTTACCAGAACAGCCTCCATCTTAATAATGAACACTAACACTCAGTCTTATGTTTTATTTAACCATCAGTTTGTTTTGCAGTTTTTTACTACAGCATACCACAGCATTCCCGACTTGATCCTCACCCTTTTTTAATGGCTGAAATTGGCTTTTGTGCAAACCACAAATACAGTGTCATCATCACTGTGTCACGTGTTTCAAAATGTTATTACTTTGTCTCCTGCTTGCCTCTCAGTGCCAGTTTCACCATGGTTGTGAGCCATTTATTCTAAGCCTAGATTTACTGTGTTGTAAACATGCTTTTAATCAGGAGATAAATGTATTTCTTCCAGGGCTATCATAATACACATTGGCAAACCACAAAGAGAAGCAGCACAAAGTGAATTTACAGTCACATGCAATCTCTGAGTGTGTGCTCCTTTTAACTCTTGTGATATGCTGAGTCCTGTGCCAGTAGCAGGGCAGGATGGTGACAGAGATCTCTTTAATTACAGGAAGCTAACCAGCACACTGTTTGATGTTTTCTGCTTTCAGGGAGAGAAAGGGGACATGGGAAATGTTGGAAAAATCGGACCACAAGTAAGTTGCTTTCGCAGTTGAGATCTACAAGACTGACATTAATTAACAGCCCCCCTGCTGTCGATTAGTAGCTTCTCATTAAACCCCTTTTTAAGAGTGTCATTGTGGAGTCTGTAGCTTTTATTAGCTTGAGTTCCTGTCCTTGAATGTTTTAATAGCTTGCTTAAAGATGAATGTACTACAAGTTACATTGAGATAATGATGTAGTGCTTCCACAAGTGAATTAAACCTCCCAGTGTGGCAACTGTGGAGGAAGTAACAGGAGCATTTTCTGATGTCTTGCTGTTTTCCTGATCCACTTTAAACATTTAGAGACATTTAGAGCCTTTCCCACCACCAAATAGTGTTCTCATCATGAAATCGGCCCCCAGAGTAGAACAAAAGGAACACCAATCAGAGATCCTCTGTGGAAGTCACCTTATTTGGGTTACACACCTGTTTATGGCGCAAACCCTGCCAAAGCGTGTTTGACATCTGGTCTCGCCAAAGAATTAAACTTATGGTGCATGTGTCCCAAAACATCTGTGTTGGGATTGTTGTATCAATTAACTATAAAATCCCAGTTCCATGTCTATTTCTTTCTGCTTCAGTTAATGTTTTATACCCAACACAACTACTGGAGAGAATTGTTGTGGCATGTATCCCCTTTGTTAAAGTACACAACTGCTCTGACCATCCAAAGTATGTCCGTCCTTCCCGGAGGCCCCTTAATGTTAATATTTGCATTCTGTTCATAGTGGAAGCAACCAAGTGGGCCATGTTGGACGGTGTTGCTGCAGTGCACATATGAGAGGGATTAAGCACTTACTGAGTAGAGGGGCCTTTGAAGCCAAGGAGGAGACATGGGGCTATGTAGAGAAAAAAAACCTCAAAGACATATGGAGGCTTTAATGACTGCCATTACATCACTTTCCAAATAAATGAGATGTGTAAGAAACTGAGAAAGACTGTTTTTGGATAGTGCACGTTAATCCAGGGTCGGTGCAAGGAGGCTGTAGGCCGTCTGTCTTTATCTGGTACAACCGTATGACCACGAGGCCTCTCGTGAACAGTTTCAAGGGAAATTTTACTGGATGTTTTTACAGTTTAGTTTATTTTAGCCAATTTAGATTGACTGAGGAGTGTTTCATTTTGAACTCAACCTCCAGTCCATGGCTAATAAAACATGTATCAGTCCTCAATTACCAAAGGCAACCAAAGGTGTGCTTAGAAATATAGTTGACATGTCAACCTCTGTGCTTTGATTTTAACGTCAGTGACCCAGTGTGTACTTGCATGTGTGCACAGGAAAGAGACACGTGTGAGGGAGAACCTTAATACTCTAAACTATAACTGACTTGGGCTGTCTTTGTTCTCTAACTGTAGGGATTACTGGTTATACCAGTACTTTTGTAATCCAAGCTGTGTCTGAGAAACCCGATCGCCTTCAAACAGTGTTGTAAAAGCTCCAACGTCAAGTCCCTGTAACATGGAAACCCCTTTAAAACAATGTCGTTCTTAAATAATACGGGATACCACATTGTACCACATTCGTCTCCCAATTAAGGGATTTGAGGTCCATTTAGAGCTCCTGTTCCCATGCCTGCAGGCTGCATCCCTTCACAGACACTTGCATCCAACAGGATAATAGTACTGTTTGGGAGATGATACATGAGTAACACTTTTGAGGCTGTCAGCCTTTCTAGCCGAGTTATGGGAAAGCAAATGGTACAAATTCTCACTGTGTTTATCTTGGTGGTCTGTTTCTTTTCTCTCACTTTGTTGCACTCACTTTATGCATCTGTTAAGTTACTCTCAGTTTCTTTTTGTCCTTCTTTCCCTCTCGTCCTCTAAACACATAGAGGGATAGAAAAAAAGAAAAGAATAAAAGTAAATAACAATAACATATACTGTATTATCGTGTGACAAGTAAGATTAGCGGTCATGTAGAATTGTGAAACCTTTTAATTATGGGAATAAATCATTTTGCAAGGAAGAGGCGCAGCAATGGAAATTGTCCCTCACAACCAGAGTGAGCCGCAGTCTGACCACGCTGGCTTTTGTGGTTGGCCAGAAGTGAGACAGTGGTCTGTAATTGGGCTGTCATATGAATTATTACAGTAACACAGTTAGGTTCAGATGTTGTGGGAGCTTGCAGTGTCCCGGTGGCTTTAGTGCACATGCTGTGGTGCTGTGTACTTGCATTATTGTGGCTTGGTCTGGCTTGTGATAAGCGCATGTTACTCCGTTTATTGGCCACTCCTCATACTTTCACTATTGTCACACAAAGTTACGCTACATTTTGTTTAACTTTCATAGAAAATTTAAAGACGATGACAGGATTTCAAAAAGTACTGTACAGCTGCCCTTTCTGGCTGAATGCCGACCCAGACGAAACCAAGTCTTACATTTGGTCTGAAGCTCCAGCTTGTCCAGTGGAGAGGCTGGCACTGGTCCAGACCACAGACCCTGTCCCAGACGACTGATCTGGAAGTGGTTAAGATTCTCCAATGACCCTCATATTTACATTAGCTGTTCTTTTCCCCATGAGGGGAAGTAGTTTGTGACTTTTCAGGGCCATCTGCATTGATTTACTTTATGCTGCGATGCTACCAGGCCCCTAGTAAATTCCCAATCGTTGATATTGTGCACAAGAAAAAGCGAGTATAATAGTTAAGTTCCACGATTCACAAAAGCTTCAGAAAATATCAAGGTTCTAACGTTTTGTATAACTATATTTGTTAAAAGATCCTTTATTTTTAAGTCAACATGGACTGTAAAACAGTTTTTGTATCAATAATAATATTCCATGGCCACAGGCAAATATTGATGTCATCTGCTTTTGCTTTGTTTTTCTGTGTCTTGTTTACACTGTGCAAGACCCCTAAATATAAAAAACATTCCTTTAAAAAATGATTTATTTTAAGATGCAAAGCTTTTTATTTGTAGCATCTGTAAAGTTATATTGTGAATAAATTCAAAAATGTAAATGAAATTAACCCTGCAGGTTTGTTGCAAAATAACCATTTAATGGATGAACCAGGCCCTCACACTCACATACTTTCTCCTCATGTCCTCTCCTCGCCTCTCCTCTCCTCTCCTCTCCTCTCCAGGGTCCACTAGGCGTCATTGGGATAGCTGGTGTGACGGGAGTTCCTGGTGAAAAGGTAAGGAGTGTGTTTTTTGTCATTACGCTGTCAGTCAGCATCAGCTAGTTGCCTGTCAGTGGCAGACCCCTGTAATTTGGGCTGTGTTAAGCAGCCATGGTGTTAGGCCCCAGAGGGCCCAGAACACATGCTTTGATAAATACTCAACACTCTCACATCCACATCAATAACAGTAAAGTCAAAGCCATGTCACCATTACTGCCCCTCATCCATCCGCCCCCCTGCCCGAAGCAAGTAATTATAAGGTTGATTCAGGAGATTCCGGTCTATGTCAGAAAAGTGTATTTCTTCCTAAATGGTGTCATGTGCTGCGCTGACATATATACATTATATATACTACTGCATATGCAGTCATAAAACACGAAAAAGGATCGCACCACACAGCCAAGTCTTATATAATACTCGTGATGTAATCTGGAGAGGCCCTGAGGCTTTATCCATGTTTGGCTCCCATTGCCTCGCTCTCAGCTTAAAATAATATATTTTAATTGGCTCTGCTCAAGTGACATTATTTTGAAAGAAGTCTGGATGTTGATTATTGACATTCCAAAAAAAACTTCCCCTATTTTCGTCACTGTTCCTGTCTCTACCTCAGCCTGTTCCCCTTCCCTTCCGATCTAGAAGCTGTGTGTCAGAACATGTTCTGGAGATGGGAGGCCGTCTGCTTGTCATAGTCTTGCTTGCCCTCCGCCCCCTCTTACACGAAATCCTTCTCCTGGTTCAATCTGTCAGCACCAGCCATACCTTGACAGCCCCCAAATTCCTTTCACATTGTATATTGTATAATAACAATCCCTGGATTAGACTTTTCTTTCCACTATAGAGCCTTAAAACTACTTTTCTCACGGTTTGATAGAAGTGAAAGAACTAGAATTATACTTGTACGGTCATGAATGTAACGGACAGTTCAAGAAGGATTGAAGCACGACTGACACAAGTGTTGTTAGAGTGGAGACCTAGGCAGCTTTACTGCTCACCCAGGGTTACCTTTGCTTAACGCAATATGCCACCAACTAGGTTTCAAAGTACCTGCTGGCTTTAAACTTCCCTCAACCAGGTGTCAATCTAACCTTATGCATTTGAGAAGCTGCTCTTGAGTTTCATGGCTTTTTATTAGGAAACGGGTTTGTGAGGCTGTGTTGGTTTTTTTTGTGTTTAGCTTTCAGGTCAAAGTTTAATAATCAGCTATCTTTCTGTATTTTTTTTCCCCTAGGGCGACCGAGGACCAGCGGGTCCAACAGGTCCAGTCGGGGTGAAGGGGCCAATGGTAAGTGCAGTCACACAGGATGTACTGCAGAGCTCTGCTTCTTGTCTGAGAGGTGGTAAACCCCAAAGCCATAGTTTACAAAAGGAAAAAAGGATTTCCCCAGAAATTAGCAAAGCTATATAACAGCCTACCGAAGCTTTAATATATTGTTCAGTTAACTAATGTCAAAGGATGATTCGTATTAAGCTGAACCACTGAACAATTTGGGCTGTAATCTTTGGCAGATGTTTTTTAGCTGCAATGTTTATTTCATGGAAATATACGCAGACTCACACGGCCTTAAAGGTTTCAAACTACTCAATGTTGCAACTTTTGTAGATATAAATCTTCATAATTCAGCTGTGTCTAATTGTTTTTTCCATAGTAATGTAATGCTGAAAATAAAAATAAAAACAGCTTTTATTTGAGTGACTCTTTTGGATCACTCAATCTGGTATGTATAGATATATTTTATAGATATTGTATTTGGATCTGATGCAAGACCTTTTGGTGTTCTCTGTCTGTGATGTCTCTTTGCCGCCCTAAAATTCTTTGTCAATCCTCTGTTGCTGAGACCTGTGATAAATCGAACTAACTGAAACAATGACGTTTGGTTTATCAGTCTGAAGAGGTCAGTATCACTCACTCCCAGTTTGTACCTTATTGTGACAGTAAAAGGCCCCAGCAGCATTCAGGTTTGTGTTGTATTCGTGTTGTAATTTGAAGTTGGAGATTTGTGGAACAGGAAAAGCACATTTGTCCAATCTTAAAGCGGTTTCAAATGCCAGAGTAGGTAACCTTGTGTCTTATTGACGGTGTTAACATTTTTAGGGACTACACCAACTCTTCAATACTGAAAAAGAACAAAACAAAGTGATCCCTGCGCACACCTATGTGAAGTCCAGTAAAGACTGAAAAAATATCTTGCTGGACGAGAGTAGTCCTCATTAACATTGCGACAGAGACTTTTGCACAAAAATAGTAACTTATTGTGATTTTTTTCTGTTGTTTTGCCCTAAATCCATACTTTATGTTCAAGTTGGGTTTGATAAATGTTTGTATATTTGCAGGTTAATAGCGAGTAAATGTTACAACATTAACCCACACTACTGTGGAAAATGTGTTTTCATGGAAATTATTTTGACAGTATTGATTCTCTAGAGAAAAAAAAAATGCTGCTGTCCAGTGCAGCAGTGTCTCCGCTGTCTCCCGTACTGCTGCATGAGAGAGGTTGTCCTGCACCCCTCACTGTCCTGGGGCCTTGGATTATTAACTCAATGTCTGTCTGTGGCTTTGGGCCCCGGTCCTGACCTAGCTGGCCAGCAGCCTGGCTGATTGGCTGGCTGGAATAGAGGGTGACTAATTTGGTGGCTGCCTGGCTGAATAGTTAGATGATTGAATCACTGCTAGTGTGTGTGTGCATGTTTGACTGAGAGAGCAAAAGAGAGCTTTGTGACATATTCAAGGAGTTATGGGGATTTGTGTGAACCAGTTTGTGCTAAAACTAAGCCACTTAGGAGGACTGATGAGTGGCAGTTTGACTTTGGGCTGTACCACCACAGATGACAATGATAATTTCATGAAGTTCTGTTTCTGTTTAAAGGCAATTTGCAGGGATTATAGCATTTCCTGGCAAAGCCACATTTGTCTTCATTGGCTCTGTTTGATATTGTGGTATTATTCCTGAATAGATTATTACAAAAGGAGAATGGTTGTGCTGTAATGAGAACCACAGATGCAGCTGTCCCTCTTTTTCCAGTGGGTCTTGAGCATTTTCGAAGAAAATGTAATATGAAATGCAGTTCTGCAGAACAGTCCCTATCCACAGATGTTACAGATGTATTAACATTTTACTGCACAGTCTCGCACTGCTGTTGGGCTTTTCCTGCGGACCAACAAGTCATTGTTGAAGCACTATTGCAGCATAATTTGAATGTGTATAACGGTACTATGCCATTGAACAGTCACATGGTTTCTTGTCTACCTTTCTATAATATCTGTCATTTGTGTTTTGGTGTAAGGGGTATCCAGGGTTGCCAGGAAGTCCAGGGGACTTCGGCCTGCAAGGTGCAACAGTAAGTATCATACCTTCGTCAACACTGTGTAATACCATGTAGTGATCGTTTGCATTGGGATGAGCTCACGTAAATCCAATATATTATAATACATTATTATTGTAATGGGTAAAAAGGTAAACTTCTTTACTCCTTGCACTCGGGCTGCAGCTTTGAATTGTTTTAGTAATCAAGTATTTTACAGGTTATTTCATCAATAATCGAATAATTGGATATAAATTACTTTTGCTTTATTGAGGAGCAATATACAAAAGAGAATATAAGACTGAACAATGAATTGGTTTCCATTTTAGAAAAATCTAAATTTGTATTGCTTAAATTACATACAATGATATTATCTGTCAAAACTAAACCATAATATCGTTGTACATTCTGGGTTTTAAGGCTCCAGACTAACTTTTTTCTCAACTGTCCTGGAACCATCCTGAAAAAAGAATTTCAACCGTCCCGAAGTCAGAGTAAACTGTAAAAAAATCAAAATGTTAAATTTTGACCTTGTTATTGTCATCGACACAATTTTATTCAGATAAGAAATGAATGATTTCATTTCTTGGCATTAGTAGTTTTATTTATGTATCGCTTGTGTAAGCTGCTTAGAGCTAGTGTTAGGAAGTTCATAATCCCATCTGTAATATCTATTATATAGTGATGTGAAAATATCTACTTCAACCAACTGCATTTATTTCAGTTTCCTGCCAAAAACAAAATTTGACAAGATTACATTTGAATACATCATGATGACGTTATAACTTACCTTCGCTTGATACAGATTTTAAGCTTGAATGCATCATAATGTAACTCAATGTTAGCCATTAGCTTTGTTATTTAGCCAGGCACACTGTTGATAAGCGACATTGCAAACCTGCAGGGGGAGTTAAGGGAAGGGATGATTCTTTTGAAATTCAGTTACTTGCCAAGCTTTATGTTTTCTTTTCTTTTGCTCACTCTGACTTTGGATTGAGTCATAACTAAATATACTTAATGGACTGAGAAGTTTGGATGCATTTACTCATCTTCTCTACTCACTTTTCTTTGGCTTGATATTATAAACACTTTAACACAAGACCAACTTGGACCCTTAAACTGAGTTGGAGGAAAGTGCTCTTGGTTTTTGTAATAAATACAGTACATAACATTTAAGGGGGCGATTTGATATACAGTATCAGTTTCCCTGTTTCCCACAATTTAGTTTAGACCCTTGTAAACAGTATGTCTTAGCTGGCAGATTGTTCAGTAGTTCTGCTGACGCCTTCGTAATGCATCCAGTAGGACTAATGTTGGTGTGGGCTAAAAGTTTGTGTAAATATTCACACTGTATTTTATAGTTTGTCTAACTGCACTATGCCAAAGGAACATTATGAAAACCTTCCGAAATTACTACGATTTCCAAATCTTTATTCTCTCTCTCCGATCCAACTTGTGTCCTTCTTGTTTTTTCTCACAGGGTCTACAGGGGCAGAGGGGTACTGCAGGCATTGCTGGGCCAAAGGGCAGGAGGGTAAGAGCAACCTTTACCTTTGGGGCATTGGTTGTACTCGTCCTTTGTGTGATATGTATGTGAGCCTACCTTAACTCAACGACTCATGGAAACTTCACTTATCAGACCCTTGGCGGTCTGTTTTGCGTCACAACTTAATTTCCACAAACCAAAGTTTAAAGCAATTTAAGACATGTGTTTGTCCCTCTACTTAGCCCGAGCTTCTTTATTGGTGAATTAAAACTGTTTCATAAGCCCCATCAATCTCACGTTGATAGACATGGTAATACTGGTGAGACATCGTGTGGCTGAGAGGTGAATGACACCTTCAGATAAGGCGGTAAAGATCATCTTAAATTAGACACAACTCATAGAGACTATGTCACAGTTTGAGTGAGTTGCCTTCGGAAGCAAAATTAAATAGTTTTTATTGAAGAGCAGCTTAAATGATGGGATTTGAGGTGTCTTGGGCCAACTTGCTGGGTCTTCAGATCACAATAATATTTGTTGGTGCTTGTGCACATGAACAGTTTGGACCTCCATGGTATGTTAAAATGTAAAAACAAAACAAAACAAAAAACAACAGCAGCACAAACAATATAGAGTTTGCTTTACTTTCTGGGATGCAAATGCTCAATCCAAGTTTTGTTATTGACAAATACAATATAACATTAATCTCTGAAACAGTAGAGACTATAGAAATATACTGTAGTTCCTAAACAGTGGCCAAAGCACATGACTAGGAAGCAGTGTACATACAGCTATGAATATTTATTTTCACTGCATTAATATGAGATGAACTGTTATCTTCTCACTAAACTGATGGTTTGCATGCGCTTTACCCGAGCAACAGACTGCCTAACAATGCTGCATGACTAAAGCTAATGCAAGAAAATGTTTGAGGAACACTAACAAGCCCATGTAGTTCTACCTAATACCACACTACTTCCCACACTTCATCACTTCCGTCACATCCATTATTCACTTCCATTTAGGCCGAGCATGTGGCAGTACTTAACATGCCATGGCTTGTGCTGTTTACTGTAATCCAATCACGTGTCAGTCTGTGGTTGCATTTCCTGTCTGGCTGAGGTAGGATATAGTTACCCTCATCCCCCCCCGACCTCCTCTTCTAGGGTTTATCTCCTATCTCCTCTCTATCTCTATGATCCATCATGGACCAGTGAAAAGGTTAATCATTTGAACCAAAGTCACAATATTCCCATGCTCGCTTTTGCTTTTGGAAAACTTTTCAGAAGCAAACACCATTCCTTTCTCAACACATTAGAGATCAACCTCAGAATGCAACATAAAGGAAGCGAAATGAAACTGCTGCACAGCTTATCACTCCTTATCAGTTCCGCCTCTGACCTCTAAAAGAACAAGTCATACCCTGGAGCTGAATTATTGGTGAGCACCTGTCCTATTTGCCACACATCTGCAATAGTTCTAAAGTTTTAGGTCGCTGTCTGAATTATGAGTTGCTACCGTTTTATCTAATCTATCTATCTCCGATTCCTCTTCCCCATTTTAATGATCACTCACAGTGAAATACACCTCCTTACCTGCTCCAGTAATGTTTCCGTAGATAAACTGTTGTGTAATAATTTGTGTCATAACTTGTGGATAAGCAGTTGTTGAATTGGCTTGAGAGAAAAGGTCTTGGGTTGTATTTACAGATTCTTATCTGTCACCCTGCCTGTGTGGTGGTGCTACATTGCTGGGAAACCTCTGGAATGTTTGTGGGAGTGGTGACGATACAGAATACAGACTAATGACGGTTGTTGGTGCTATTTCAGAGCTGTCTGTATACATATCTATGTATGTATGATGCTTTGATGTATGCCTGTACTGCTCATTCTTCTTTGAGTGATGAACGGTGTGTCTCATGTTGCTTTCGCATAGGGGCCCCGGGGTCCAGATGGCCCACTGGGAGAACCAGGCCCTGAGGGCACCACGGTAAACATGCACACCACCCTGTGTGAAACATCACCGTGCACATGTAAAGATGGGATGAATGTAGTACTTTTGCAACAAATATGTCCATCCCCCTGTATATCAGCCACAGTATTATATTACAGTTGAAGTCATTTGCTCAACTTGGGAACGCTGCTTCTGTGAAATTATTTGTCACAACGTATGGATGATTTATTTCTTTAGTCCATCCTAGTTTTTCCAAAATGTATCATACCTTGTCTTTGCAGGGTGAAAGGGGTGACATCGGACAAAAAGGAGAGCCGGGATTCATCGTAAGTAGTCTTTAAATGAATATGCAGACTTTATTTTTGTCTTTCGTCTTTCACTAGCTTATGTTGGAGAAAGACAGGAAAAGAGCAAAGTACCTTAAATAACATGCAACGAAGTTTATACTCGGAAGTATTAAAATACTTGTAATGTACCTGCTGAATAGTTATGATGCTGTAAATTTTATGCGTAGCACATTTCCGGATGAAGGCTTCAGGCTCTTAAGAAATGAGAAGACACATTTTTATTCAGTCACATTCATCTAAAGCCAAGAATGATCATTCATCCTGAAGCCTTTAGGTTAACATGCACATCACTTTTGAAGATGCACACTGACCTCATGGAAAAGACATTACCACATCTAGTACAACCCTCGGGCCTCTGTAAAAAGCTTGGTTAGCCTTTAATCAGTTTTTATTTGCAGAGTTTATCTTTCCACCTCTGTGTCAGGTTATTCCCAAATGCCGTTATTATGTACTGCTGCCATTTTTTATAGAAGAACCCTGAGCTATATACTGTATATCGGCTTAGGAGTAGCAGGATGGACATACACTTTGAAGTTAACGGATGTAGTTGAGTGAAACGCAATCAATAAAAAGATTTTAAGTGCAATGTCTTTATTCAAAATTGTACATCGCAGCCGCTCCAGCTGTGGGCATGTCATGTTCATGCACAGTATATGCTTATGTGTTTGGTCATTTAAGTTGAGTGTAGTTGATGGAACAAGATATTTGTAATTGACTACCATCGTCACTGATTTAAAAGTGATACTAATACTATGATATAAACAGATAGTTGCCACGTTAATATTTCACAGTGGATTATCAAAGGATTGATTTTGCCATTTCTTTTGCCCACTGTCTGGCCGTCGCAGACAATGTTGCTCAATTATCCTAATAAAACTAACAAAAAACAAACCTTAAAGGGTGTTATAACATTGTACTTCAAACAAAACATTATGTACAATGGTTTATTGTGGGGGCAAATTTATGAGCTGATGACAGTAGTTTTAACTGACATCAAAATCTGTAAAACTGTTCTGGATCCACACTTAGCAAAGCAATTAACTGCAAATGTGTTGTCAGATGTCAGAGCCATAACATTTATAAATATTGTAACTGTTCTTGTTGTGCTGAATCATTCAAATGCTTTTGGCCAGATTAACTACACACACGCCCTCTTGGTCGACTAGTCCACTAATTGATCTTTTGTCATTTATGCTTTTGTCAGTCTGAATGACTTATTCCCAAGGAACTAATGAGCACATCTCTGGTAAACACATGATTTAAAGTGGTGCTTGTGCAGACATGGAAGATTAGCATGTTGCCAATATTTTTCTCAAAATAGATTGAAATCAGTTGGGTTGATTTAAACTGCTTGTTAATAATGATTTCTCCTCTGAAGGGCAAGGCTGGCACTCCAGGAGCGAGAGGCCCTCCAGGGAAGAATGTAAGTCATGTTTAACTAAATGCTGACTGTCAAATGTCTCTTTCAGAGCTTTAATTATACTCTTTACTTTAGGAAGAAGCATCACTACGACTACAGCAGACACCACACACTTGTAAAACATTTCCACATCCTCTTTGACCCGTAATGTATGTAATTATAATTTTAAGAGTGTGGACCCATAAAGTCACTGACTTGTCATAGTTAAAAGAAGGTACTGTGCTTTTTTTTTCAAAGCACAATCAAAACCAATGTGCGTCTATTCCCCCTTCTTCAAGGGGTGTGTGTTGGTGTGAGGTTATTGTTGAACACATCGTACAAACATAACTGACACTTTCCTGCCTCTGAATTAAAGAAATAATGATTCATTCTTCATATACTTTGTGTGGGATGTTAACACTGTTCACATAGAGTTTGGACAAGACATTCATATGGAAACATTTGTTTACGGTTTTTATTGTAAATAATTTTGACCACGATATGTACAGTATGGAGCAGAGGACATTGTACAGTTCAAAAAATAAACTTTTCAGTGCTCTCTGGTGGACAAATTATGTAATGGCGAAACTGTTTCTAAATTCCCACAAACATATCTATGGCATTTCTGCACTCCAATTTCTTGTTACCTATATCCACTGACATGTGTGACGATACCAATACATCCAGCTAATAGTGGTCCATGATATCAGCCAGCTGATTCATTGGCCACTTTGGATGGGACTTTAACAACCCCAGAGGACACACATTGACTGTAGTGTCTTGTTATAATACCACACAATAGACATACTTTTGGCAGCTTTGAAGCACCATTTTGCAGACTCTTCTATTGTTGCCATCAAAAAAATGATGGCGGGTAGTTTTTATATGCTTTTGAACTGCGACAGGATGAAATAATTGATGTTCCACAGATGGTAGAAGCATGCAAACAAAAAAAAACAATCAAAAACAGATTCAAAAGCTGATTCAAGTTGTTTGTAATTACTCATAACACACATACAAATACACACATGCAGGCCTGTGCTCTCTCTCTCTCTCTCTCTCTCTCTCTCTCTCTCTCTCTCTCTCTCAGATTAGCCATCTGGACATCCACACATAGTTGTGACCTGTCCTTCTGAGCACATGCTGCTCGATGCTAAATGGAGATCGACCCCTCTTCAGAACTTGCCCACTACATACTGTATCTATAGAGGGGGTCAGCGTTTACATTCTGCATCTCTGGACTCATAGCGCCATCTTGTGTTTGATAAAAAAATCTTCATCAAAATCTGTTATGTATCCATTCCTCACAATTTCTGTGCTCTATGGTTACAAATCATTGTATCCCAAAATGATTGAGTCATCTGTGATGTCAAAGCCCATTAAGTTCAGTGCCGAATGCAATTGTGTAGTCGTCAGTGATTGTGAATGTGGTTGTTGTCACATTGCACTGTATTATACTGCAGTTTCCATACATCTTTTTGTCTCCCTAAAATCTTGGAAATCAACACACACACTTTCGACAATTACTCTCGCTGAATCAATGTTTTTCCTGCTCTTTCATTTTGCCTTGTTTTCAGATCCACTCTTGAAACATACCTCATTCACACAGCTTGAGACATTTAAGATATATATATTTTTTTAATATTTTGAGTAATATCTACTCAGTGAATAGCAGCAAAAGTTACTTGAGTGTTAATTGTCATGAGTTAGGTTGTAATGTTTCCAATGATTGATGCTACTGAATTCATTGTTATCTCATCAAATTTTGGAACGTATATTTCAGCGCTTGAAACAGCCAGCTACCACTCACACGCAAAGGTCTAGGCGTCCTCTTTCGATGTTGGACTAAACACTGTTTCAAATTAGCGTGTCTTGTCTAAACTTGGTAACACAATGTTTGGAATACCAAAAGATCTGACATTGCAAGAAAGCCAATCCTTTTTGTGTTGCATCAAAGAGTTTCTGCGTCATGTCTCGAGGCATTAGGCAGCACTGAAATATGAGACTGTTATCATGTTTGCAGTTACTTTGCTGATGATGATAATGATCACGATGAGAAGAGGATCGTGGCCAAAGCCAAGCTTTCTCTTGCTTCTTTTCTGTGATCACACAAATGAATGAATGAAGCTATACTTGACTGTGTGTTTCCAGGGTAAACCAGGTATTCCAGGCAGCACCGGGGAGAGGGGACCCCACGGTGAACCAGTAAGTATGCTGTCTTCTAACTGTTGAATTGATGTGGTTGTTTCAGGAAAAGACAAACGTTGCATTTTGAAAACCGAATTGTCTGGAATCTATAATTAATCTTTTATTCTCGCAAAAGTTTCAGGAGAAAGAACCGATCAGGGTCGAAATTCTTTCATAAACACCTCTCTGGTGTTGCTAATTAAGAGACATTGAACAGTTTGAGAGGGAAACGAAGGAGTTATTTAGATTTGACTTTGTTTATTGCTTTCTCTCTCTACGTTCCACATACCTTTAAGCACGACACCTTGTGCTTCCCTTCTTGGATTAGTATTCAACTTCTTGACTTTCCTGGAAATCAGCCGACCCCTCTGGAACATAGAGAATGTCAAACAATCTGATAGAAATATTTATTAGGGTGGGACGTTCCAATAACACTCGAGACGCGGTTTATGTTATGTTATGGGTCTCATCTTGCCTTTGGCTGGTCTTCAATTTTACTACAGGCACTCTCAGCTCTCAGCTTTCCCTTCTCTACAGACTTAAACATTCAACTGTATGTTTTTGTCTTGTTATTATATGCTAGACTTGTATATTATGTTGTACTGGTGTTTTATTACCCGATTGTCTGTATCTAGCAAGTCCAATAATGTTATTATTGTATAATTTAACTGCTTAAGCTGCTTTAGGCATCTTATGATGGTTCATTTTCTTGCAGGGACCCAAAGGACCTTCTGGAGAAGCTGGACCTGATGGAGAGCAAGGACCCGAAGTACTTTTCATTAAAAATTAGTTAACATAAGTCAATTTATTTTTGTGTTTTTTTTTATTTTTATAGTTGACATTCGTATGTATACAGTACAAATTAAACATTCCCTTTGTTTCTCATCTTTTTAGGGTGGGCCTGGTGCTGAGGGGGAACTGGGTGCCAGCGGAGAGTCGGGGTCAAATGTCAGTACGACCCTTGTCATGTTTTTTGCAACCACTCCTCTCACCCCTGCATCTTAGGAAACATTTGTCATGTGGGGCTTCACTCCCTACCACCCTCCAGCAATGTGAAAATATGTGACCCTGCTCAGCCATTTTGACACAACTGTAACCTTGGGTGAAACAACAGCTCATTGTCAATTCTAACGTTGCCCCAGCTTCAAGTATCAGTGTTTGGTTTAAGTCTGGGAGTGTGCATGCGCATATGAGTGTGTTTTGACCTCCAGACAGCCCCTTGGTTTATTTTGTGTCCCTGCAGGGTGAGATTGGGCCTCCAGGAGCTGAAGGGGAGCAGGGACAGGAGGGAACGAGTGTGAGTAACTGCAAACATCCCACTAATCCCTTCCTTCCTTGTGTTTGGGTAAATTAAAGCCAGTCGTATATTTACTCCAGCTCCTTTTTGACGACGATGTCTAATCCCCCAGCAGAACAATGGACTATATAAATAGCACCGCCTGAGTCTCATCTTACTGTTATGTCCACAGAATTAGAATCAACCTTCTTTAACAATGTTACATAAACCCTCTGTGATCAACATTGCATTTTTACTCACTTCAGTTTACTGGATGAAGGAAGATTAAAGAAATAAGATGATGTCTGAGAAACTGTCCATTTTGTCCATAGAAGTTCTCTTATCTTGTCTAACTGTCTGCAGTCAGTTGGACCAAAGAAATGCTTTCTCTCTCCTTAATACAAATGTTCCCAGAGCAAAGTTTTTGTTTGTTTATTAGTCACTGAAATTGTGATTACAATGCAGATTTTTTAATTAATCTTTACTATTGTGTCTATATCTGTCTTATTGTGTGTCATAAAACTCATAAAACTAAAAGCGTAACTTAACAACCCCTTAAAATCTTGTTTTTGTGACCTCCTGTGGTTTACTCCCTCTCCTTGGTGCACTGATGCACAGGTGTTCTTCACTGTTCGGTGTGATGCTGGCTGTAGTCAGAAGTGAAACTGCCTTGAAACATTCAACCAGAGAGGGCATTGAAAGACTTGACTTTCCAGCCTGGTGTTAAAGGAGCAATATACGACATTCAGAGCATTAATATAGCAGCAAATAACTGTTTGCTATGTAAAGATATAGAGGAGTAATGTCTACCTGAGCAGAGAATGAAGTTGCTGTGTTGTTATCCAAGTTTCGCCGTGCTTTTTTGACAAAGCTGGGCCGGCTGTGCATGCTTTTAGTGCATGTTCATGCATGTGAGCATGCCCGACTGGCTAGATCATGGCCACCGCTCTGCTCTCACACGGCGGTTACGGCTGATAATGGCGTCGTAGCACACATCCTCCAGTTCCCCCACAGGTTAACACTGTCAGCTCTGTCAGCAGTTGTTTGCTGCCGTTTGGACTGTTTGACATGTTGAGAGCCGTTGAGAGGCAATTGAAATGCTTCGGATAGCGTCTCTTGCACCTTTAAGGTACAACTTCACTCTTAAACGATCCCTCATCCCCAGACAGCTACATACATTATTCATCTAGAAAAAGATGCATGTTCAAAAGTTGTGCACTCTATATATTTATAATGAGGTTGTTTACCCATATATATATATATATAGCGAACCTGCACTTGCTCCCAATGTATAATCCTCCACGGCCTCTTAAATCCTTTGTTGCTGTTTGTTTAAAATACATACTATTTTGTAACTAACATACTATGCACCAAAACTATTGAATTCGGGTCTTAAGAGATGCAAGCTCTATGAACATTTTTAAACAACAAATAAAAACTTTAACTAGCTGTTCGCTCTTCCATTGTTTTACACTTATCTTTTACATGTTTTATTGTTATTATGCCTTCCATTGTTTCATTGCTTGTTTTTATCGTGCAGTATTTGCACATTTTTATCCGTCTGTCTTTTCTTTCTTGAAAAGCACTTTCAACTATTATTATTATGTTACCTACACTTTTTGGTATTGTTTGACGTGAGAGCAGAATATATCTAAAGCTTGACACACAGAACCAGAGCTATCTGCCATCACAGAGACAATAACGATGTCACAGTTCTCACAGTTGATATGTCACTTTTTACAGTAGTGAAGAGGCTTTGTTGTGAATGTTGGTGTGTTTGTAGGGTCTTCCTGGTCCCCCTGGGGAAGATGGCCCTCAAGGAAAAGATGGAGCCAAGGTAAACATAACAAGACAGTCTTTGTTAACTTAACTTCACTTATTTCTTACAAAATCAAGCCCGTAGCTAAAATGAGTTTCTAGCAGGGTTCTCGATATGATAACAATAATGGGTGGTTTCAGTACACTCTGCTTGCTTTCGGTCAACAAAGAGATTATTTGAGGATTATTAAAAGTTAATTCAAGTCATACTCTGAATATCAGCACGATACACTAAGAACACCAATCCGACCGATTTCACACTAGATTTAAATGGTTAGAAAGTTTAATCAAATAAAAACTATTCCAATAAAGCCTTTTTACAGCTTCTGAACACCACAGGTTGTCTGGCTTATTGACCTGTCTCTGTATGTAATATGAAACTTACAAAATTGTACTTTTACTCTGTTTTCGCTGGTTGGTCAGGGTGAGCCTGGTGAGCGTGGGCCAATCGGAGAGCCCGGGGACAAAGGAATAGAAGGAGACCCTGGGCCCCTAGGCCTAGCTGGAGGGCCTGGGAAACAGGGCTTTCGTGTAAGTTTATTTTATGTTTCCGAACTGCCAGATACAACAGTTTCAATAAGACAACCTTTTGATGGAAAATTACTGTAACAGAATTTGCTGCCTGTACTGACTTTTTACTCAGAAAATGCACACTTGCGTGCAGCTAAAGTAAAAACTAGATCTGAATAGAAGCTCTGCTGGATGCCGCTGGTTTCAGAACTGTTCCCATTGCTTTGTTTTTTTTCGTTAGTATGGTTATTTATGTGAGAGCCAACAAGCGATTGATGGATCATAAGCATACAGCTGATGAGACATGGCAATATATATCACACCCATAGCATTTTAAATACCTGCCACTGACTCAGCAGATTACAAAAGTGCTCTGAACCAAACAATGCTCTTGTGTCCCAGTAGGGGTCAGCCTTCTCTTCAACAAAGCCTCTTGCTACTGGTGGAGTTAAAGTTACAATGTCATAGATTGTGGATTTTTAGCACTGCATGATAGATGTCAATAAAAGTCTCCTCAGTCTGAGTTTGCTGTGAGATCCAGACCTAGATTTATCTATAGGTGTTTAGGGGCAGGAAGGTCACGGGTGTCAGGATGGAAAGATTCAGGGCACACATACAAAGCTCTGTGAGGAAACTGTGAAAACAAACATGTAAGCTGATAAAGCTGCTAAACGTTTTGAATGGTATTGTGGACTACAAGCAATTAGCTTCTGCACAGAAACTTGCCTACTCATAATGTCTGACATAAATGCTGTAGTACCAGGATCGGCAGTTTGGTGTTTACAAGTCATTAGGCGCAGTTATCAATGCCTCTGATTAGAGAATACATTTTTGATGTCTGTGGTAACCATTTCATGTGTCTCCCACAGGGGCCAGAAGGAAAACTAGGGCCACTAGGGAACAGAGGGCGGAACGGAAAGAAGGTAAGGACCTTGTTTACCACCACTTTTGCTTAACATTATGTTTCTCAGTGAAACAGCAGGAACTAAGAGGACCTAGTCCATGGTCCTTTGGCGTTAAGGTGGTTGCAGAGAACTAGTGGGTCATCTCTTTCAGCTGCCTGAGTTATCGTTTGGTTCAAATGTAAAGCTTTTGACCGGAGTTCTGAGAACTAACCGCAACCAGCATTAAAGACAAATATCCTTCAGAACCAGTATGGATTTATTTTCTTCCTGAAGGACATTACAACAGAATGGATGCTGCGTGCCGTTAAAAGAGGTTGAAAGCGGCCTTTCAACTTCAATGATTTTCTCCATATTGGCATGTCAGTGTTACTGTTTTTCATCCCCCATTGGCATTCTGCCTCTTTTCAGGGAGAAAGAGGTCCTCTGGGGCTTGTTGGTGAGATCGGCACACGAGGAGACATCGGCCAGCCAGGCGAGTCGGGGCTGAAAGGTGCCAGGGGAACTCGAGGCACACCGGTCAGTTCCCATCCTTCCTGCGTTTCCTCTCACTTAATCCTGTCTCAAAATCAGACTGGAACTTTCGGACAGAGATGAGTGATGGTAAAGTCCAACTGAAGTAACATTTAGGCCTCCGTTTCATCGTAAAAAAAAAAGGCCAATCTATTTTTTTATTATTAAATGAAAAAAGGCCTTCAGAAAAATATCAGAAATGGTCCTTTTTGTCTCAGCCAACTGAAGCGGCATGTCGGTGTTTGATTGGCAGCAGCTGGCAGGCGGCCAGAGTGCTAGTGTACCACCGCATAGAAGGAGATTATGCAAATCAACTTGTCTGTAGTTTACATTGTGTGGGCTGACAGTGTGTTGTTAGTGAATAGAAAGGGCCACACCAGCATCTAACTGGACCACAGTGACATACAGGTCATTTTACAAGCTGGTTAGTGTGATGCAGCTAAGCAGGTAATTAGCGATACATTCCTCAGTGTACACTATATTGACAAGAAAGCTGAGCCATGCAGTCAGTGACAATATGTAACAGGACACATTGAGCGCATTGTTCTGTCCAATGTCGCCTTTATGCGCCTCATCACTCCACTCAGCAGCCGGGGAACACGACACGAGAAACTTCTGTTGGTCTTGAGGAGCTTTAGCATTTATTTGTGCCAAAACGGTAGAAATACGCAATACTCTATTGTTCATTCACTTGATATCTCTTTGCTAAACTTAATCTTTCCTCTTCTCCGATTGCTCTCTCTCATCTGCTCACACTTCATTCATGTCACTGTCTCTCTCACTCCACCACACACTATGCACGTACATACACAAACACAAACAAAAATGCACACACATACATACACACACGCACACACACACTACAGTACTGGCTTTGCTCTTCTTAAAACGAGCTACGCTAATTTTACAACAACCAGTCGCTGTTTGCTCACGGCAGCTTAGGTTCTGGAGGGTCCCCGCTGGCCATTTTCGCTATTTGCAATAAAAGTAAAGAGAGCAAGGAAGTTCTGTGTTCTAGAGCTGGTATCTGGCTAGCTAGAGCATCCAAGTTGCGGAATTCATTGATTTGATTGCCTACATTTACCATCAACACTGATTGGACATCCACATAAAAAGAGCTACATTTTCACATTAAGAGCAAAGCATCGAATGCCCTTCTCTGTTCCAAGCCTGAGCGAGAGCAAGAAAAGACAGGAAGAAATCAAGAGGAAGGCATCTATTCTTTTCTTCTTTACTTTGCAGAACCACTTAGACCGTGTTTTGATTGCTGTAGAGAAAAGATTTATATCCCCATCATAACAGATCCAGGCACAGGATTCAGTTCGCGTTTGTGTCTGTTTGAGGCCAAGCCAAGGTTATATTGAGCTGGACCTGCAAAACAAAACAAAAAGCAAAAACAACAGCACTGTAACGGATTCTTATTTTGTGTGCATTTTCTGCATTGCTTCCAGGGTCGGCCTGGAGTCATGGGGATAGAAGGGCAACCAGGGCTGGCAGGATACACAGTGAGTTTCTCCTGTCTGTGGTTTTACATGATCCATTTGTTAATGTACACATACATACTGCACATTTCTTCCTGAGTAGTTTAAGCCCTGACTGGTCCCTTTGGCTCACACATCCCACTATGCTTACATTCATTGGGGGCCTATCTTACAGAGGAGGATTACAAAGTTTATATAACCTTTTGTAGAAAATCCGGGATTCCCCTACAATCTGCAACATAGCAAGTAACAAGTACCTGTTCAAGGTTTATCTCATCAAACTTAACCCTGCTTCAAGGAACTTCATACATGCTTATAATACCAAGCTCAACTCAACATAGCTGTTTTCAATCAAGCTGTATCCCCTCCCTTGGTAGCCTTGTGCCTTAATCCTATGTGCTGGAGACACCTGGGGTTTGAGTCTGGTGGAGGACACATCATCCTTACCATTATTATATTTCACATTACTCTTTATTGTTAATTGTTCAATAAACACAAAAGATAAGGGAAGAAAATCTCCACAACAGCAAAAACAAGAGGTGGAATTGAAGATGGTGAAGTCTTCAAGCTAATTTTTCCAGGCAACACTACAACCTGGTCAATACCAACATCAATGGGTTTAGGTTACATAATGAATATGTATTAAGGCTCTCAGACTTGACTCAGGTTGCTGAGTGAGTTCTGAGTCTGTGCCAAAACACAAATCCTGAAGTGACAGAATGTAAGAGCATCTCTACAAAGAGTTTTGTTTATTTTAAACTGTTGGGCTTGATATGCTGACTAACTCATGTTTTGTCTAAGAAACATGCTGTAGCCAGTATGGTGGCTTTGTCAGCTACAATAATCAGCTTTTTTCTATTTAGGGTCACTCTGGCAAGCCCGGGCCCATTGGACCACCTGGGCCTAAAGGTGAAAAGGTAATATGATACCTCAAGTGTTTGAAATTCAATTATTTCAGTGTTTGGGGTTTTAGGTGAAATGTACTTCAATGTACTGTCTGGCTGCAAAATCTTATGTCTGCATGTGTGATTGTGTGTGTGTTGCTGCATTCCAGGGTTATCCAGGCGAGGACAATAAGACCCCAGGACTCCCAGGGCCCTTAGGTGAACCAGTAGGTTTTGCTTTCCTTTAAACTCTCCTTTCTGATCCCCAACACTTCTCGCTCTGTTTAGTCCAAGCCATTTATATATCCGATTGACACTTGAAATAGAAGTAAATCCTGATCAACCCCTGATTTTAACACCAAGTACACACATTTCTGTCCCACCAGATCGACAACAATGTATCAGTGTTTCTGTTCTTAAACCTGTCATGCATATGGACCCCGATTATCAACCTATGTGGCCCAAATCTTTTCTACTCATTGCAGGCTGAGCATGAACAAGTAAAAATGTTATACAAGGTAAAGGTTTAAGCGTAGCACTGTTAGTGTTCTTATGTCCACCAATAATGAAAATAGAGGTCTTTTCACAACATTGAGCACACATGTTCTACAGTCAAAATTGAAACAGGCTTCATTACTCTGCATTTATACAAAACATTTGTATTTTTGACAAGAGCAAGAGTTTCAGGGAGGGCCACTACTCACCCGAAGTTAACTCAAAGATTTTGCACCCAAGAAAACAAAGTCATTCCTTGACTAGAGGATCAAAGCGAGTCTCAGCAGCTTGCTACAGCACAAAGTTATACAGCACCATGGCTATTACGAACTTTGAGACACATTTCTCAGCATAGGACGTGACCAGTGAGTCAGCCCTATAGAGCATTAACAATCAGGTCCCTGAAAGTCTACAGGGGTCTAGATGGCAACCTACCATATGAGTAGTATTGGATTATCAAGTTGGCACACTATTTCAAGGTGAAATGAAGCCTTTCCATTTGACTCCAGTAAAGATCCAGACTCATAGATCACATCTCTACAATATGTTTCAAGTGTGTTGGCCTGAGAAGTGACTCTGTCTTTAGGTAGCTACCCAGCTCAATTGAGGCTTTGTGGGTATAAACGAAGGCACGACTGTACAGTACAGTATGTGTGTTCATGTGTTTGCATCTGTGTCTACACAGGGGCCCCCAGGAGAACGAGGAGAGCGGGGAGAGCCAGGGGAAGAAGGATATCAGGTAGACGAAACCACTAAATCAACATCAGATATATCAAACAGTCACCACTCAGTGTGTGTGTGTGTGTGTGTGTGTGTCCACTTGATTGTTGTTCATAGTCTTTTAGCTCCAACAATTGCTGCTCTGCTCAGGTACTGTAAGGGCAGACCACACATGTTTGGAGAGGATTACCACATTCCCAGCAATAAGGCCGCAAAAAATCTGGTGTTTTTGTCACTTCATGCCTCTCAGGTTCAGGAATCTTTGCTCTTAAAAAAATACACATGCACACATTCACAGTGCAAGCAACACGGTATGTGGGCTACACTAATTTGAACAGTGTGGTCTGTAGCTACAGCATTTTAAACAGGCAAATACAAAAACGATATGATTAAGCTGAGGATAACAATACACTTCATATGTCTTCTTATCATAAGAATCCCTGTATTCCTCCCTATATTCCTATGATTTCTAATTATAAGTTATTAAGGAAACTACCAAGGACACAGTAGGTCCCAATCATCCTTTTTTCAACACCGTAAGATTGTGCCCGACCCTCTCAAGGCTTTGCTTAAATTCCCTTCAATTAGAGTGACTTTTTAAGTATTCTACTTGCATGCTGAATGTCCGTAGATGTACTTGCATTGTTCCTAGGACACATTTTAGTCCTCAAGTACCTATCTCATACTACAGCCCAAACTATAACAGTTATGTAACCATTGTAAGTGTAGACCGGCGAAGAATCACATGATAATCCAGCTCCAACCTAGGTTCATAGTCATAAAAATGAATTTAGTTTTCATTGAAGTGCAGAATATATTGATCCCGTCGAGACATTAAACTTGGCTTAGAAACTATTGTATATGGTTTTGATGCTCTGAAGCTGTAATTGAGCAGATTGTCATTACTGTATATGTGGAAATGGTACTCATGAAAATACACGTGGCTTCGGGCAAGATGCTCGTCCTTTAGTAAAGAAAGCGAAAATGACATGTACGTGTCATATCTCACCACTAATAAAGATCAAGAATCAGAGAGAATTTTATATTAAACTGTGTTTCAGGGCCATGTTGGTACCACTGGATCTCGTGGAGCTGTCGGACCACAAGGCTCACCGGTAAATCAGTAAATATACGTAGCACAGTAGCTATAGTGTATAATAATGGAACTGTGTACCCATGTTGGAGCACTTCAACTATAAACAGTGGTGTAAAAAGATTGAAAGTGTTGGGAAAAACTAAACATATGATGACAATTGTGCTCTTTTTAGAGCCTTACCAGTTGCTGGGCTGAAAATGTGAATTATGTAAATGTCTTTTTCCTAAGTGTGACACAAGAGTTGGGCATAGAGTCATTTAAAGCACAGGGATTGTTTGGAGGATTATGAGCTATTCTTTGTGCTAAAAAGACAATTTGACCTCATGGTGTTTCCACAATGGACAGACTTGGATTAAGAAGCAGCAGTGAAGATAAAGTGTGACTCCATTTATTCCATTATGTAATTTGTCAATTTTGGCATCCACAATAATGCTGATTTATCTGCAAAGTAAACATAGTATGGATTCATACAACATCTTAGTAATATTGTTTGTGTGTTTGTTTGTCTTTGTTTAGGGATCAACAGGCCTCTCTGGAGAATCAGGCCCAATAGGAGACACAGGAGCGCCGGTGAGTCCATGCAAATCCTGATAGCAGAAAAATCAAGCATACATCTACATCGTTTCTCTCATTTATAAAACAAAGAGCGTGATCAATTATTAAACTTGGTCTCCTTCCTGCAAATAAGATCAATGGTATCAGCATCAGAGTGTTTCTACTACCAGGCTGCTTGTTTTGTAGTGAATAGGGGTTTAGCTCTTAACAAAGCCAATAAATCTATTAACACTGCCTCATTCAACCACTGCCAGCAGGGTTGGGTTTGGTTCGGCTGGTTTTATAAATCACTCTGTGGATAAATACAAAATCCTTTTGTTTGCTGCCCAAAAGGAAAGACCACCCACAGACATTTCTCCAAAACACCATGTTGTTCACCTGTTACCAGATGAGCATGCTAGCACAAAGACTGTGACCTCTGTGGTTGATGATTTCATCGTGGCTATGGTGGAATATTAGTTATGGAGAGAGAAAAAACAAAATTCAGCTTACTTCGTACGAAGTATTAAAAGCCAAGTGCTATAAATAGGTTAAAGAAGGAAGAGTGAATAGTAACAAGGGAAATACAGCAAGTTTTCTTCAAATTTTGCACAAATGCCCACGAGGACTCGAGGCTGGAACTGGCAGGAATTTCAACATAATCTGGCACAAACATCCACTTGGACTCAAGAACGAACTTATTCGAATTTTGTCTCTGTGACTTAACAAAACAGGATTTTAGCCATAACCCAAGAATGAATATGATAATTATGACAATTTCACATATCATAATAATTATTAATATATTATAAATAATATATTGCTTTTGTTCTTCAATCCTTAAATAGCTTGCAAAAACACCCTACAATTTGGGCAGTTCTTTCCTCAACCGCTGTTTGCTTTCTTCCTCAACCTAATCACATGGCGCACAGAGTTTTACCAATATTGTCACATGCAACATATCATCTGTTTAGAAACAATAATAAAAGTCTGCTAGAAAACACAGGAAACTTTTCGGATCTGCTATATTTTTCTTTCAAATGTATCGCTTTTGTAAAGCATCCCTTAAAGGGGTTTCTTTCTATGATTGTACATATACTGTACATGACTCAGTATCAGGGCCTGGACAGAAAATATGAATCGCAAAAGCATGGTTTCATAGGAAAGGCAAATTTTTCTATGTACCGGACAAGTTTATAAAGCTTATGTTATTTAGCATGATGATATATATACTATAATGTGATATTATGCCACACATTATATTTCACTCAAACACCTCAATGTGATTTAATCCAATGCTATTTGAGGTGTTAAATATACAGTTGACAGTTGTATTTCTTTGACTGTCAGAAATAAAGCATAGACACAGTCCTGAACTTGGGTCCTCCATAAGACTCGTGTTAGACATGGTCTTTCAAATTTCCGCTCTTCAATGAGAGGCGATTGAGATTTATAACCTTGTGTGTTTTTGTGAATGCCGATGTATGTTTTATTCTTCATGTGTGCGTTTATCCAGGGCTCAGGAGGAAATAAGGGAGCACAAGGGCTGAGTGGAGCTCCTGGCATTGAAGTGAGTACCACCTCAACCAGATGCATGGCTAAGAGAGAGACAGCAGCGGCATTACAATGAAGAGCACTTTCCACCGTGATTGGCTGTGTGATGAGGATGCAGTTGGGTATCGGGAAACAGCAGAGTACCACAGCGTTACCAAAGTATTGCATGTTTACCAATTGGTTACCACCACTGCATAAAAAAATGAGAGAGAAGGCAATTAGATCATGTGACTTAAAGAATGCTTTGCTGCTTTCCACTCTTAGATGATATAATGCACAGGTGTTTGACAGAAAATGTCAGCAGCAACAGCATTGTATTTCCTTTTAAGTGTCACTTTTAAGTGATCCTGGCATATGTTTATTTTATTTAGAAATATCAGAGGAAGAGTTAGAATGTAGAAACCTGGTATGATACATTTTGGTGCTCATGAGTAGTCTGTAAATGCCCCTCAAGCTGCGATTGAGTGACATTGTCACTGTTCTGAAAAACTTTCCAGGGCCCATTTGGTTTACCTGGACTCACGGGACTGAGGGGTTACCCAGGGCTGGATGGTCACCTGGGACTTACTGGCTTACCAGGATTTCCAGGAAAACGTGGACGACAGGTAATCAGTGACAGCACATAACTGTATGTCATTTTAATGGCGTACCCATTTTGATTTATTCCAAAGTAAACGGGAATGTAAAGAAAGTTATGAGTAAACGAATGGCTTCTCTTCCTTTTGCAATATTTCTTCATGGTAATATTACAGTTTTGAAGCTGTAGCAGCAGTAATACTGATTACTACCAGTAACTGATTGCTTGAATTGCAAACATGATACCTTTCTCGTTACAACAATAAAGTAGTATGAGTACTCTAACAACCCTAACAATGGTCATGACAGAGATAACTGAGCTACATGGATGATGACCAGTTTGACTTTTGTCTGGCACCAACAATGGTGATCAATTAAAACGTGGAATTTTGGAGGTGGGGTTCACATTTGAAAATGACGTTGCTTATGTGCTATGTCTCAAAACAATCTTGGTCGGCACCATGAATGCAGGCCACAGAACGAGTCAGCAGATTTATTTTCATAACTGAACTTTCAAGAGGACCTGTCCTTTGCTGCGCTTAATGCGTACTCTCTATAGCAGACTTGTGGTTTGCATTAGAAGAATTTGAGAAACCAATGATACACCCTCATATTTGCACACAAATATACATAGTCCACAAGTAATAAAGCTGTGTAAATATTACCTGCAACGTAGCCAAGTGGACTGGCGGTATAAGTTGTCAGCTGAAAACAGTCAGCAGTCCAAACAGCAGAGGCTGCAGACAACTTAATCACCACCTCACTACCCATTCAGCCATTACGCTAACTTCTGCTTAATTGTCGTCTTAGCACAGGGATTGTATTTGACTGCATCTGAATGCCGAAAGAATTTCTTCTGCTGTTACTATCTGTAGATTTAAGACTGAGGCACACGGCATGTGATTGACTTATCAGTAAATGCCTTGTTTGATTTGATTGGCTTCTTCTGGTTGCGACGCAGAGTCTTTCAAAATAAGTTTGCAGCCAAAGTGGATTGGGATTTCATGCATGAATGTCTTTGTCCTTGTCAGCCAAGAGTTGGAAAGACACGTCTTCTCTGTCTCGCTTTCATTTACATAATGTTGTTTAAAAGTCTGGTAAGTCTAATTTTGGCTACTGGTGTTTTTCACTTTGACTGAAATGATATGGTTTCTCACTAGCAGAGTGAGTTCCATAACTTTTTTTTTTTGCAGGGAGCTTTTGTTATATGTGACCTGTTTTTAAAAATAGCAGGTTTTCTAAAACCAGTCTGCTTCAGTAGTCTAGAGCTCTTTGGGTGCTTTTTTACTGTCTCAGCAGGAGATGTCCTCTGTTGGCAGGCTACAAAATCATGCTGACAAAGTTTCACAACTCAGCAACTCAGGAACTAGACCGGTGTTTTTGCTTGAGACTCCAGCTTTTGTGTCAACCATTTAAAATAATCATTTGTATTTGAAAACTATCTACCCCATTCCTCCAACTACTCATTTCACATTTAAGGGAACCTATTTTTTATTTTGCATTGGTGATGATTTGATCCATGTGCTCCCCGTGGTAATACTATGTGTGTATATATATCTATATAGATCTATATAGATATATCTATATAGATATATATCATGAGGTTCCTAGCACCTGTAGGTTGGGGGTTCACCCAGAAAATCTGGTTCCAGACTTATCCGCACAGTGATCGAGGAACAGAAGCCACGTGTAAGGCGACGTCCCACTCACTCACTTCAAATATCACTCGCTCCCTTCTGCCTCACCACACGGCTCATTTGTGGTGTGAGAAAGCAACTCAGTGACAGGCAGTCAGTTTGTGGGTAGGCTTAGGGGAGAACACTGCCAAGAAATATTATAGAGGCCAGCGGACTTTGCTGTGTCACTGTGGTTTACAGCTGTAAAAAAAACAATGAATTCAGAAATTTGTTTGGATATATTGAAATAAAAATTGAAATTGAAACATAATTGAAGAGAATAATTGTTTGTCATTATATATTAAACAGCTATGCCAGCTGTTTCTTTAGCCTATTTTTGACATAGCCTGCCATTGACTGTTGAAAACTTTTCCTTGTTGGTGCACTCAAGGACGCCACTACATTAGAAGTATGACTGTCGGCTGTTTAAGAGCAAACTTTAAATGCAAGAAACGTCAATCAATTTGAGTTTTTTGTTAACCACCATTATGAATCTTCACGAGTCTTTAACCTCCAATAAATCTTTAAAGTATCGTTTGGAGGGGGGGGGGGATGTATCTTCTGTAAGGACGCTCACACAAACTGCAGATGGTTTCATGCTATTTTACTGCTGTAATGTTCCAAGAAATGTTGCAATGCATCAGCAATGGCTGGGAAAAAGAACAATTATTGCTGTAAACATGGTTGCAAATGATGCAGGTTCCAAAAATAACAATAATATATATTTCCTAGTAAAACAACACTTACTTTATTGTTTTGGTTTGACATTGGCAACATTTCTTTCAGGGTCAGACAAGCTCGGTGGGACAGGAGGGATCTGCTGGACGTCCAGGTCCCAGGGGAGAGATTGGACTTCCTGGAACACTTGGAGAAAGAGGACCGCCTGGTCAGAAGGTGAAAACGATAATACATATTGAGCTAATTTATTATAAGTTGTAGCAGGGTGTCTTAACAGAACAAAAAAAGTCTCTGGTGAAGAAACATTTTTGACATTTGTTGGATCAGGGAGACCTGGGACTGCAAGGGGACAGGGGAGCCTCGGGAATCAAAGGCTTGGAGGGAGTTGCAGGTGACCAGGGCAGAAAAGGTGACCTGGGAACCAAAGGACAACCAGTGAGTACATAGAGGCATTTGTGATTTAAAGAAAAAAATCCATCCTAAAGTAGGATTAGTTTATTTCCATAGACTGAAATAATTGTATCAATGATAGTGTATTTGATATTGTGGCCATTGCTTGTTTTAAATTGACACCCCCCTAGGGTTTTATAAGCTTATATACATTCTTTAATACCTCTCTAAATATAGCTTCAGGTGGTTAGTTAGACAGTCTGTGTGTTTGACACTTTTCCACCCTGAGTGGAGTAACAAATTATCTGGGCGAGACCAGGAATGGAAACATTCCGCCTGTTAAGACCAAGTTATGTAAGATCCTCACCCTCCAGAGACCTGAAAAAGAGGTGCTCCACTTTACTTACGTAACTCCTCAAAGAGAAGAAAAAGAAACAACATTCAATCCCTCGCTCTCCTCTCCCTCCACTAGTTTCCCCCATTGATGCCTGTGAAACAGAGAGCAGACTCGGGCCCTTGGGTCCCTTTGCACTGTTCAGTCAATAGAGTTTCTCAGTCAAAGTCACTGGCCCGAAAGTGGAGCTGTCTAGAGGATGTGGACCACTGGCTGTACAAACATAGGGCCTGCCGCTCTAGACGGCAGACAGTGCTCATACACAGAATAGGGTTCAGACACCAAACCCCACAGTTTCTAGGAGGGTGTGTGTATATGGGCTGAGGCCACTGTAGATCCAGACATAAAGCCTTGTGTGTTTCCCCCGGCTCTTTTGAAATGGACAAGGACATTTTTAAAAGACACTTTTAAAAGGGTATGAAAAATCACTTACACACACACACACACACACTCACACACATTGTACTTATGATACGATGTGTTTGTCAAATGCACACTAAATATCACAATGACAGTGTGTAAAATGCAAAGCTCCTTTGTTGCTATGATGTGATCTTCTTTTCTGCTTGCAGGGGGAAGCTGGATATCTGGGAATGGTTGGTTTACAGGGCTTTTCAGGGCCAACGGTAAGAGGCTAAGAGAGAGTAGCCAACCAACAGTTAGAGTGCAACAAATGATAAAACAGAACAGAAGGAAATAAGCTAGAATTAAAAAACGGTTCTCGATCCTATTGTCCATGTATACTGACACAGGGATTACCTAAACCTCTTTTTCCTTCTAACAGGGGCCGAATGGGGATTTGGGATTGAGAGGCTTCCCTGGCCCGAAAGGCCCAATGGGCACTCTGGTAAGTGTAACAGCAAAAAGAAACAGTAAGCACACCAAAGTGCTTTCTGTACTGCAGGGATTCAAATCCTAGTGTTGTCATCACTAAATGACACCCTGAAGTCTTGTGCGATAAACTGTAACCGCCTATTCAGCAGTCTCACTGTTGTAGAACGTGTACATGTCAGACTTGTTTTTTTAATCCTCAACCCTGCTGTTTGTTTCAGGGATTCACTGGACCTGTAGGGCCTGACGGAATGATGGGCCCCATGGGAAAACCCGTAGGTTTCTGTGTGTGTGTGCGCGTGTGTGTGTGTGTGTGTGTGTGTTTGTGTCCGTGCGTAATGAGAGTTGTATAACAACAAGGCAATCACAAGACAATGATCTTTTGATAAAACCAGTATATTAACTGGCCATGTGCTAATTCTAGTTTATATAGAATGCAGAGTGGGAAACAATACTGTTTATCTTTTCCACAGGGGCCAAGGGGTCTGAAGGGAAGCAGTGGCGAAATGGTAAGATCTGATTCAAACCAGTAACCAACACTGAAAAGGCTGACTGTGACAACGATTTGTATTACGTATGATTACATGCTGATATACCATGTGATTATATCATGTTCATACTTTACTGAAAGATCAGACTTGAAAATTCCTCAGTGAGAAAGCATTGCTGGGCCAGTTGTCAGAACGCCACCTCAAAGCAGATTGTAAAAAAGACCGACTGTAGAGGACGAAGGCTGTGTTCGAATGTGCATGAAAGCTAGCTGGGGTTAGTGGTAGTTTATGTGACTGTCCTTAAGTGACAGCACATCGGTGTGGCTGAGTGAAAGTAGCTGATTTCAGTGTCTCGCTGTGGGGCCTTTCAGTATTCTCAGACCCTCTTGTGTAAACACTGTTGAGGAAATGCCTTGTCAAAATATTAGCATGGCAAACCACAGTGCAATCTGCATCCGGTAACCACAAGGTTGGCGGTTCGCTCCCTGGCTGCTACGTGTCCTGTGCTGAAGTGTCCTTGAGCAAGACACAGAACCCCAAATCGCTACCCCGGGTGCTTCTCAGCAACCCACTGCTCCTAATATGCTGAGGATGGGTAAAATGCAGAGGTCAAATTTCATATATGTACCTAATGTAAGTGACGATTGTAATAAAGTTTAAGTTTAAGCGTTCACTCTAACCCTGATGCTACATTTAAATTGTCCAATTCACGTTCTTTTTTAAAGCTCTCAGCCGGTAACATGGTATCCATGTAGGGTGTAGGAGTTTACACATGGGCTGCTACATTCTTGAGGTCGCCAGAGCAAACAGGACAAACTAAAAACATTATTAATCTCACACTTTCAGGGGCCTCAAGGACCAGAGGGAAGTCCAGGACCTAGCGTAAGTGCTGACCTCACTATCACATTTCAGCTGACAGTACTCATCTATTAATGTGTTAATGAAGTTTGGTGATATTTTAAATTATGAAGCATAGTGGATGAGCTTGCTTTCAATTCGGTCACTGCAGGCAGACTTTTATTTTGGGCCTGATTGTATGAAACAAAGGAAATAGGACTGATGGCTTTGCTATATGAGATTTCAAATGATTTATTTTATATTTACACTATGAAATACTATAACTAAAAGACTACTCTATTTCAAATAGTTTTGGTCAGTCCAGACAGGGCAGTTCTCTGGTTGCACCCTCAAACATCTCCCAATGATGAATCCAACATGGTAGTGAACTGACCGCAACCACAATGGGCTCATTTTTCACTGTGTCACTCATTTTGTCTTCTACTTTCTTCCCACTTTAGGGACCTCCTGGTGCTCCAGGTCCAACAGTAAGTGCCTCATGTCACTCAAGTAGACAGGTAGCCATACAGCTAGAAGGCAGAAGTCATGTTTTGAATGTCATGCAAAAGACTTGCAAAAGAAAGGTTTGGATCATAAAGTTGGAGGGGAAATTGCCCAGAACTTGGCTAATTGATAATTTAAAAAAAGTATGTATATAATTTACATTTCACTGAACCTTGAAATCTCAGTCTGTCTGGAGAGTAACCCTGTTACATCTCTATCTCTCTTTGTTCCTGAAACCCAAGCTTTGTGATTGCCCAAGCTTTATTAGACTTTTCATAGAAATAGAGTAACGAAAGCAGAGCAAAACCCGGATGGGCAAACATTTCTTGTTTGCGTATTTGCAAAACTAAAGATGATCCAATAAATCCATGTCAGGGTTAGGACTCGCAAAAAGAACGATTTAGTTCAGTAGCATTGGCGGTGGAGATCAATGCTCTAACAACAAAGTCTTGCACTGTGATAGAAACCTTCTGCACATCTCTGATCTGTCATAACGTGTGGATAAAGTGTAGCTTTCTGCTATCTGAATGACCTTTTCCTGTTGGAATAAGTCTAAGAACCCAGATAAGCAACTGTATCAGATCCCTTTTTGTTTACACGCACTTTTTTTTGTTTTATGATCACTGTAGTGTTTATGCAGAGTGGAATGTGTTATTTCCCCCCCCCCCCACACACACTGAAGTCAGGAATGTCAGGGTTTATTGATGCAAGACTTATTTTACTGCTTTTCTCTGGTATTAAAGTGTATTCTTATTCTTTCTCTATAAACAAGATGAACAAAAAACAAACAAAAAAAGCCTACGGATTCAAATCTTTCAGTTAAATAATGAACAGGGCACTGAATGTGTTATGTTTTCATTAAACTGAATATGTTGATTTTGAATCTACAGAGGCAGATTTATGTTGACTCGGCAGTCTATGGTCTATCTGACTCTAACACCGCCCTCAGGACAGAGGTAAGGCACTAATACACAGAGCCAGTGAATGGGGTGAATGAGTGGATTGTTGCATAGATGGCAGATAAGTTGGCAGATGGAAAGTCTAATGAATAATCGGGAAGTGGTTTAAAACACTTCCCAATTCCTTTTGCACTTTTTGTTTGTATTGTAACTGTAATTAAGGCTCCTAATATATCAGTTTAGAGTTTGACAGTGCCGTCTTTCCCGTTCTTAACCAGAGTTTCCAGAACACAGAGATGAGCCTGCCAGACCAGAATACGAAGATACTTAAGACCCTACGCTACCTAAGCAGTGTGATTGAGAGCATCAAACAGCCTCTGGGCACACGGGAGAACCCGGCTCGTGTCTGTAAAGATCTGCTGGACTGTCATCACAAGCTCAGAGATGGTGAGAGTCGTATCTACCTGATGCTGAATGGACGCAGGATTTTAGGCATTTGAAGATGTTTGGATATGCCTTTATAAAATACTTGCCCTCCCTGTCTCTCCGTCCCCGTCCTGCCTTTGTATTGGGGACTTTCAGGTTGGTTCTGGATTGATCCAAACTTGGGCTGCACTTCTGATGCTTTCAAGGTCTACTGCAACTTTACCGCAGGAGGGCACACCTGTTTACACCCAGTGACCTCTAATAAGGTAAAATTGCCCCTGTTTTCTTTATTAAAGTATAAATATAGATAAATAGAAATAGAAATAGTGGTTATATTTTGGATGGTGGGGACAAGTATGTGCTCGGTCATTGGCGTCTCCATCCATGTCAGTTGATTCCTAGAACTTGTCCACATTGTCTTACACAACAATAGAGCACTCATTTAGAACCTCAACTGCAACAATCCTCTGTATTGTCCTTTGCTTTGACATTGTCGGAGGCTGTATCACGTCTTTTTAAACATAATTGAATTGTGAGTCTTTATCCTATTGTAATTGTGTAACTGATACACACTACTGGTTCTGCTCCCCGTTACAGATGGTGTTTGATGTAGGGAAAGTCCAAATGAAGTTTCTCCATTTACTGAGTAGTGAGGCCAGTCACAGCATCACACTCCACTGCCTAAATGATCCTCCATACAGCACCACCGGATCCTTACCGCATGAGAACAGCACACTTCGGTTTCGTGGCTGGAACAAACAGATGTTTGAGAAAGACACACTACTTGAACCACATGTGCTACAAGACGAGTGCAAGGTAATGAGCGGGACAGAGAACTGGTTCGGCAATACCTTTCCAAGCATAGTCTGGAATATTTATGATCCACCCATTCTCTTTCAGATCCAAGATGGCAGCTGGCACCAGTCACGTTTCTTCTTCCATACTCAGGACAGTCGTCAGCTACCTATTCTAGACATACAGGAGTTTCCCACATCACAGTCCAATAGTCAGCAGCATATAGAAATCAGTCCAGTCTGCTTCCTCTGACACCAACATCACCATCCTGTAACCTATTTACATGAACTACTAAAATGCAAGGCTGTTACAAAACAATGCCTGCCTACCAAAGAGGGAGTGTCTGTGAGATATTGGTGCGTTTGTTGGAAACCGGTAGTGGGACCTGTCAGAGCAACAACTGCCCCATGTCCAATCGAAGGCAGACCTGCATGGAAGAACTCAATCTCTGTGAAAAATCCAGGCCAAGAAGGCCAAAAGATAAGAGTGTATACCAATATTTATCATAAATTGTATAAAGTTTGTTTCGTTGATAATTGTTAGTCAAACGGTGCTTAGGTCTGCTGTGTATGGACCCATATCACTCCCTGATCACAGGGTAGGGTGTGACTAAGCAGCAGCCTATCCAAACCCCAAAACTCACGCCTCCTTCTCACCCCTCACCCACAAACACACCCAGACTGTCCTAAGCAGAGGCCTAACTCGAAGGAGCGTGCCAGGCCTCTACATAGGAGCACTGTCTAACTAAACGTTTTTATGAGTGCAATAGCATGGCGATAATGTGTGACTGCTTTAAATATTTCAATTTCCGATCAAAGGATTTATTTTACATTGTTTTCATGATATTTTTGTCTTCGGTCCTGCTCAGTCGGACCTGTACATCTTGACAGATGGTGCTCTACCTCTACCTGCTCATTTGCTTTCTAGAATAGTTGCTAATGTCAAGTTGGTCTTTTTTTTTTTGGCCTTTTTGTTGTATGTACCGGTTACATCAAGAGTTGTTATGTTGTCCAAGTGCCTATGTTGATTTGGTCATTTCTAATTTATGAACCATTTTTTGATACACTACATATTTTTGTAGCTTTTCCTTCTATGTGGTAGGTTCTTCAGGGGAAACCTATCATTGGTGCTGCAACATAGAATGAGTCATCAGTGAGTTTTTACATTTCCTGTGTATATATTGACAGCATACTGTATGTTTATTTATATCCTTTTTGTTTTTTGTTCACATTACTGAAACACAGTAAGTTATACTCTCAGAGAACTATTTGGTCAACCACAGCTCAGTCTAAAGAAGTATTTATGTTAAAAGGTGTGTTTTTGTCTTCACACCTGTGACTGCATGTTTATCACACTGTTATTTTCGTTAATTCGGGGGTGGTTAGGTGGACTGGCAGCTACATGAGGCCAGAGTCAGAATACACAGAAAACACAGTCATATTCTTAAGTTATGTTACCTTGAACAAAGTGTAATTATATAAGTCTGTGCAGGATAAATGTGGATTCAAATGTGTAAATAATAATAACACGTTGACAAACAAATAAATGGAGCATTTTATCCACAAATGGTTCTGTACTTTTTTTTTAATATGGTCACACTGTCAAAATCATACAATCTGTTGGGATCAAATTACTGTTGAATGCGCTGTTATCGCTTGTATGGAGGACGCTGTAGTTCTCCTGCCCTGACACCGAGAGGCGCTAATGAGCAGGTTTCCAACCGGAACTCGTCTCCACGTGCAGCCGTGGCGTCCACCGGCGGAAGAGGGTTTGTTTTGATGCCGCCACCGGTCTCCGTTTTGTCCAACGTGTGTGTACTCCTCTAATGTGTTCTGTAATTGTACCAACGACAGAAATAATGTCATCTGCGGAGAGCCAAATGGAAAACAACTGTCCGGAAGAAGAGCTGAAAGGGACCAAACGAAAGATTTCTCTTTCCAAGTAAGTGTTTTAACAGACAGGAAGTCAGGAGCAAGCTGCAAACTTTAGTGAGCTAACGTTAGCGTTAACACGTTAGCGTTAATTAGCGCGAGTTCTGTTATCTTTGTAGAAGTTATAGAGATATAAAGAGGAGTAACGTTAGATGTTACGAACGGCAAATAAAAAAACAAGTAGCGTTATGTGCTAGTTGGCTTAGCTAGCGTCAGCTACAAAGTTAGCATGTAGTAAGTTAGCTAACGAACATCAGACAACATCTCCGACCCTAACATTCAAACAGTCCGTACTGTATTCATTCTTCACGAGTCCTGGTGTTTATCCTTACATGTCTTGTTTCTATGAGCTATGTCGCCTAAACATTGACATAATAACTGCTAACGTTAAATGTCTGAAGTTTTGGTGTTTTTCAGAGAAGTTGTATTTCAGTCCAGTGGGTTATCTCTTGCTCTTCCGTTGTGCCTTGTATCCATCCTGTCACAGTTTGTTTCACGCATGTAAAGCTGACCTCGTGTGTGCACCATGCTAACTCGTTATCTGTCCTGCAGTTGTGGCGTGTGTGGATCAGAAGAGGCGAAGTACACATGTCCAGCCTGTCTTGCTCATTCCTGCAGGTGAGACTATTGAACAAGTAATGTAGTTATTTTAATGACAATCAACCAGCCACAAGGTTCCCTAAACAAAACTGAAAGGTCACAGTATAGCTTAATAAAGTTAACTTATAAACTTTTAAACAGAGGGTAATTTAGTTCAAATTGCTTTTGGACTCATTTTGACAGCATTTCTACTTTTCAGTAGCAAGACTGGCATAGTCCTGAAAAATCATCTAAAGCTGACTTTGAGTAAGTTATTCAACTTAAAAATAATTGAATAATAATAGTTATTTCTATATGTCACAATCATATCAGAGTTTGTTTTAATGTTCTAATGTGGGTGGGAGTAATGGACATAAGAGGTCTGTTTTATTGATGCAAATGGTCTCCATCTGTAATTAAGCACTTTTTAATGATACAGCACAATTTTATGTTTTTTTAGCAAATTATTTCACGGACCCCACTTTGAGAATCACTGTTTTCAATGATGAATCAATTGAACTGCAGAGGGTACAGAAAATGACAAAAATGTTAAAATTCCGAAGAAAAAAATCCCGTTTCCTTTCTATAGTGTACTTGAAGCTCCAACTTTAAATACTAACAGTGCCGTGAGCCTGCACATTGTTGCTTTTGATTCTTTCTGTTGGCAAAAAGCATAGTGTAGTTCACTAATACTGTTCCTGTACAACTTGTATTACTGGGAAGAAAAATAGACTTTGGGCACCCAATGGCTTCATTAAAAGCCACATGTAGTCTTTCAAATAATATATTTGTGTGTGTATTGGACTGTAGGCGATGCATAGTGGAAGTAAAGCAAGCAAGCAAGACTTCCCTTGGTTTGTCGGCTCTATTTCTATGACTAGATCATTTTAATTTTATGCATCTTAAAAGCTAAATTCCATCTGAATCTAGTTCTGCTTTTTCTTATGAGACACAATCATCACCAAAGAATTATGAAATAATACAGACAATCTCTTCTACTTTTTGCATGCAGCAACATGGCAATGCTCTACGGCCTTTTTTCTTTAAATTCTGTGGATGCTGAACGCTTTACAGCTAAACCTTCAATTACCAAATGGCATATTGAAGGTCATACCTGAGCGTTTCATTAAGATTCATCAAAGGGCGCCAGGGCATGTCCTTCACCCTTTCTCTCATGGATGCCCGTTGTTTTGAGCGTCATTCAGCATTCCTCTTACATAGTTTCTAGGGACACGGTCTGGCCAAATACTTGTCTCTCAGCAATAAGGCTCTTTCCATGCCTCATTGTTTTAGTAAAGGTCTTTCAGAAAGCCAATTACAACCATATTAGCTTCAGTAACGTCTCTGTCAGAAGTGCACATGAGCAGTGGGGGAAGACGTTTACTGATAACCAAGCTAGCTGTTTGATGCAAATGTGTATTTTATCTTCGTTACTTTTTCTTACTGTACTCTAGCTTTATATGTTTACTAGATTCTACAGAGCTGCGTTTATGTCTGAGCTAGTAGTTGATGGATGTTGTCCACACAAGTATGAATCGAGGAAACATCAGCTTGTTTTCTGTGGGTCTTTGTGCTCTGCTTTCTGGAGTGATGATGGCCTCTTTAGCTCTAAATCTAGTTGTTTGTCCACCTGCAGTGCTTGTTATTCGTGTTTCATATGTGTTGGCCTCGGTTCAGCAGACCAGCAGTCCTTCGATAACATTCGTTGGAATTCGTCTTCCATCTGTCTTTGTCCAGTCCTCTTTTTGCTGTCCTCTATGCAGCTGTGTGAACAAGTTGATCTGCAGCCATTCTGAATTCCTTTCAGACAGTTGAAGCGTTACATAACACATTCTGTTTGTGCATACGTTCCAGCTTGCTGTGTGTGAAGAAACACAAGGACGACTCGGGATGCAGTGGAGTCAGAAATAAAACGGCCTTTGTGACCCTCTCAGAATTTGATGAGATGGCACTTCTCAATGGTGAGCATCTTCTTTACTGAAAGTTATTTAAGCATGTCAAATAACTGAAACACATTTTATTAATAAAAATACATGCTACTCTTTTACTTTAATGTTTGTTTACTACGTGTTCTTTCCCTGCTCTGTAGACTACAGGCTTCTGGAGGATACGGGACGATTTGCTGGCGCTGCCACCAGAGACAAACTCATCCAAACTCCTCGTTCCACTTTAAGAGTACGTCCTTGAGTTAAGAATGTATTTCATGTGTATGCCTAATGTTGAGTACTGTACCTTTTTAAAGGGTTTGTTCTGTCCCTGTATTGTTTATTTTGCACATGCTTGATCCAACTGATCAACAGGATAAAAAACTAAACTACTATGAATCACCATTTCGTATGTCCTTTAAGATTGTTGTCTCCTGCCCTTTCAATTGTCAGTCTGGACAAAGTATTGTAGAGTGTTTTGTTCTCAATGTACAAAACATGATTTTTTTTGCAAACCCCGAGTACAAAGTAAGGGTTAGGCTTATTTGGAAAGAGGACTTTCTGCAGCAAAAATGTAGAGTAGTCCTCTCAGACTAACGAATCAAGAGTTTATGGCAGGCGACCCCGATCTTTAAAGCGTTAGTGTATGTGATTTTAGCTTTTTTTTAAGTTTGTTTTATTTGTGTGATATCCTTATTATCTCCCTAATGCACATTACTCTTCAAAAAAGATGAAAAGTATAATAGTAAAAACCCTAGCTTCACTACAGCCTCATCTGAATGTTTTCCTCCTGCTTTTACTGCTTTACTTGGTCTAATTTGCGTCAGTGGTTATGCAACGCTCACAGCTGTTGCGCCAAACCACAGACATTCATTTATGTAACATTCGGTGTCCTTTCCAGCCAGCTTCCACCTGCACTGTTTCTACATGACAACATAATATTTGATAGCTCGGAGTAATGCATGTTCTTTTCTGGAATTTCTTGAGTCTTTGTCCAGTCCTCTTTTTGCTGTCCTGTGGCTGCTTCAGCGATCACAAATCAATCAGATTAATGAGTTTATTCTCAGTGACAGATAACTGCTTGGCACATGATGAGCTTTGGGATTTGGGTTTCCTCTGGAACACTGCAAGCGCAGCAATTTGTTAGTAGCCTTGTGTACAGCCAAACTTTTTTAAAACTTCTCTTTTAATGTGTCTTACTAAACCGTAATAATGTACTATCTTTACTTTTCTGTTTTATAGGCAAAGAGGCTGGCAGCCAACGCCAGGAAGATGTTTATCATGTTGAGGTTCCTTCCCATCACCTTCACCAAGAGCAAAGAAAACTCGACTATCTTCTTCTCCAAGTAAGAAGGAAATAACTTCGAATACAAACAACATGTTACTTGAAAAAGAACGTTGTTATTTGTGTTATCCTTAGCGGTAGTTTTAGAAAAGTAGCGCTGCAGAGAGCACAAGAGCAACATGTATTTTGGAACAAATTCATTTAACTTAGTCAATATTGCAGGTAATCTAGTGACTCAGGCTCAATTAAAAGTAACATGAATATCCTTACTAACTGTAAAAAAATATGTTCTTTTTACCCTCATTCTATACTCTTATTACTGTCTTGATAAAATCCATGATGAAAATAGATAATAATTATTCTCTCAAACATCCGTCACTTGTACTACAGTATCATAGCAAAGACAGAACATAAGCGTACTGTAGCAAACACAAGTAGTAGTAATGCAACAGCACGGGTGTTTAGATTTCCATCAGAGCAGTGCCGCCTTACCAAAGGCTGTTAATGATGCGCTGTGTCACAGTCAAAGATAACACGGCGCATCTTTCTGGTGAACTTAAACCTTGCTTTGTCTTGAGCAAGTCAGCTTCTGATTAGTGATGTTTTACTGAACCACAGGATGGCACTCTTGTTAAGCCCTAACAGCAGTTCTATCTGGTGCTGGATGTCTTCAGGTTTCCGTATGGCAGTCTGGTGCATGATGGTGACGTCAGTAGACGTCTACCTATTTCTTGTATATTTTACCCGGGCAGTTGAGCTGTTATTGACATTAGCACGCTAGTTTCTGAGTTTGCAGTTTTGTTGTATTTCACAAAAGTTGAATCCTGTTCAGATGGGAGACCCTTTCAAGATGGTAATGTGCCATTATGTTGGCCCTTGTCACATGTGGTCAGTTTCAGTATATTTGGAGCTTTCAACCAGCACACAGACACACACGCATGCACTCTTGTTGTTGAGGAGCAATAGCACCATATTCTATGCTGCAGACACGCCATCATTAGGCAGCGGCAGTGCATCTTCTCTGTTTCATTACCAGTTAGAGGAACAATCCCGAAACTATTGCAGGATTAGGTGAATAAAAACCATAACTAGGCTGCTTGTTTCACATTCTGTCCTAATGTATTACACACTGTAGTCATTCATCAAAAGACCTTTTTGAGGGCATGCTGTTTTATTACGGTTTTAAAATGTATTTGAGCATCATTACGTCTATCATCAAGCTGAGATAGTACAGGGCCAGTAGTCACAGAGCATACATGATGGATTTAACATGTTTGTGCATCGGGCTGTCGTTGCAGCTGGGCGACTCATTATCGACCGACGAGAGGTTAACGTTGCTGTAAAGTGGTATCGGGTGCGGTTGTATCGGAGTATTTTTACAAGTACACGAGCACAGTATAATCCCTAGTTTTCAGAGAGTTGTCAGGGAGAGGGTCAGTGCCCAGCTACTCCTGACCTCATCTGTAATTTGTATGTCTATTACAATGTGTGACATTTTCACGAATGGTCTTTAAATGTGTTGCCCTGCGTTGTAGCTGGACAGCCCCGGTGTTGTTGACTAAAGCCAGTAACTCCAGTCACACAATGTGAAAGATCTTCCAGTAAGCTGCTGTTAGACTTTACTGCGACGTGAGTAAAATGTAACAGAAAAAGACTCCTTGTGACCAATAAACAAATGTACAGTGGTATTTTGATGATTATTTTATCATTTAAATTACTATTGGCACAAATTATGACACCTCCAACAAGGCTGGTGTTGTTATTTAACCGTTCCCCCATTGGTAGTTTAATGTTTTTGGGAGAAATGATTTCAGTGTGGTCAACTTTGCAGACTTGTAAGTGAGGCGTATTTCTTCCTTTTAGACCCTGAAGTAATAAGTCATTATTTCGCCTGGGCACTTTTCCCAATTTGCTCGGTTCTCCTGGTGTTCTTGTTGTGTCTGGCAACGTTTCTTTCTTCTCGGACAACCTTCTGCCAATCATTTTACCATTTCTTTTGAGGCCGAACCCTGCCACTCTAATCCCTCTGTGGAAGAAAAGAAGAGGGGATGAGGAGAAAATGGTTATTGAAATGCCCAGGGACGACATTGGGTGCCAGTCAGGATTGCCACTAAAAAAAAAAAAGAATCCTTTGTGGGTCTTTCCAGCTGGTTTGATGTTGTTACTTTCCCCTTCACCACCCTCTTTTCCATCCTTAAAGTCTACCCCTCTGTCATGTCTGCCTCTGGTGTTTTGCAGATGATTTAAATGTGCACGAGACAACATTATGTCAGGTTGTAGCAGCCCACCCTCCAGCTCCATCGTCCTCATTCCCAACTCAACACTTGTCACATGAGACCAGAGACCTTTTAAGTTTCTGTTATTTTATAAAGGTTGATAAATTCCCACAACCGCTCCAGCAAAAGACACAGGAAGAATATTTCTACTTTTGCTGCTGCACTTTCAGTAGAGGAATCTCTGGCCAGCTGCACAGCCTTATTTCTTTGTTTAGTCTGGTTAGTGTCACCGTGTCTCACTGTGAAGATGTTTCAAGTAACTGCAACCGTGTCCCATTCAGAGACCAGTAAATGGACACGAGGGATGGGATGAAAGGTGTACAATTAATTGTGAGGGATCGGGAGAGAATATGCTTCAGAATTTACCAAGTACATAATATAAAAAGCAGATGTGTGAGCAGTGCGACTGCAGCTGGTTAGCGACATATTCATGCTACGCACTCGAGCTGCCAGAGAAGGATCATTAATGGCAGACAGCTGACTAGAGAGCTTTCATGCCTGGCAATGGTGTGTGTGTGTGTGTGTGTGTGTGTGTGTGTG